TTTTATCTGTGGGGGTGGATAATTTCAAAAACATTGAGATTATATGAAACATAAGGTAAGACAAATATTTCTGTTAGATACTTTCACACCCACACAGATAAAATCGTAAGGGTTATAATAATTATAAGTAAAACAGAACCCAATTTTGAGTTTAAATATTGTTTAATGTCAATATACAAATTTTTTACTTAAAGTAAGGTAAGATCAGATAAACTTAAAATAGCTATGCAAATTGCATGTTAATTCTAGATAAAAGAAATTTATTCAATTTGAACAATTGTATCATATTTTCAAAATCTCTTTTAGCATGTCTTAATGCCTTTTACACATATAATTATACAAAACAAAATTTCTGTACACGTATTTGCTTATTTAAAGAAAAATGCAACATCTGGTAACGTTATTAACAAGGAAATTATATAGTATATAAACAATAGAATAATAATAAATACTATAAACAATAGAATAATAATAATTGTAAGAGCAAATAATTTCTAGAATAACAATTTAACATTCATTCTTATATTACCCAGATTACAGGCATCGTTTGACTATGTGCATAATAATTTAGCCCATTATTATTATGGTTTCCTCTTGTATCCAAAACATAAACAAGAGGGCCATGATGGCCCTGAGGTCGCTCACCTGTATATAGGCCCCCGGAGCTGGGCCAGTTTAAACCCCAGGGCTTTTATTTGAACAAACTTGGTAGACACCCATAAGAAGATGTTTCATGCTAAACATCTTAGCTTTAACTCATTGGGTTTTTTAAAAGAAGATTTTTAAGTTTTTACTATACACATATAGTTAAAAATAATGACACCCCTGGGGCGGGGCCAGTTTTGACCCCAGGGCTTTTATCTGAACAGAATTTGTAGACACTTACTAGAAGATGTTTCATGCTTAATATCTAAACTCTACCTATTTGGTTTTTTTTCAAAGAAGATTTTTAAGTTTTTGCTATACACATATAAGGAAAATCAATGACCCCCGGGGCGGGCCAATTTTGACCCAAGGGCTTTTATTTAAACAAACTTGGTAGACACCCATTAGAACATGTTTCATACTAAATATCTTAGCTCTAGCTCTTTGAGTTCTTTAAAAGAAGATTTTTTTAAAGTTTTTACTATATGCATATAGGGAAAATCAATGACCCCCTGGGGCGGGGCCAATTTTGACCCCAGGGCTTTTATTTGAACAAACTTGGTAGACACTCACTAGAAGATGTTTCATGTCAAATATCAAGGCTCTAGCTCTTAGGGGTTTTTTTTAAAAGAAGATATTTAAAGTTTTTTCTTTTGGTTGCCATGGCAACCAGAGTTCTGCATGGAATTAAATTCTTTGAACAACTTTGTTAAGGCTTCACACAAGGAACATCCCTGTGAAGTTTCATTATGATCTGCCTTATGGTTTCAGAGGAGATGTCGTTTTAAAAGTGTGAACGGACAACGGACGACGGACGAAGAGTGATCCTAATATCTCACCCTGAGCATATGCTCAGGTGTGCTAAAAACAGCTGTTCAATAACCGTCAAAAATTTATCAGTGTTTGCGAATGTGATCCTTCGAAGCATTAAAAACAGCAAAACTACATTAAATTACAGACTGGTTTGACTGAGTCTGTACATGAGGGATAATGAAAAAGTGCAACAGCACGCCCCGTAGCACCGGCTTGAGTGGTTCTCAATTCTCAACACTTAAAAGTGCCGGTCTTAATGATCGATCCCAAATGACCAGAATATAACAACACTAAAGTTTAGTATGAGGCAACTTTTTACGGCTGCTTCACAACACTTGACACCTGCTGTCAAGTCTGGTAAACGTTAATATGCGCGCTGCCTGGCGAGGCCCTACACTGATGGCCGAAGTTTCTACTTCAATATCCCAAGAAATGATAGTGATACTTATCAAAACTACATGGAACCTGGACAAATACATTTATTAAAAAGGTTAAGTTCAGCTCCCTACGATATGTCAAGTATACGACTATATTTTATACATTCACCTAGTAATATGTATACTGTATCAAAAGGTGGCTGTTTCAACGCCAGATATTGAGACAAATACACATAATCAATAACTTTTTTGGCTCACATGCGCTAGTCACATAAGCAAATATTTTACATAATCGGCCTATATATGTATATTAAGATATCTTATTATACAATTATTGACTAGCGAGCCATTGAATATGATGTGATATTCACCGGCAGATGACACATTGGCCAAGGCGATAGCAGAGGTCAATATGACTTTCTGCCGGTGAATATCACATCATACTCAATGGCTCACTAGTCAATAATTGTTTTATTATGAATGGGCTAAGAATTATAGAATTATAAAAAAATCAAAAAAGTACAACCTTATATACATGTACAAATTTACCTCGTTGAAGCGCGGGAAAAAAGACGCACATGTTTGGCGTGCAACGACTACTCGAACACTGCGCATACAAAAGTAATTCAAGTTTATACTAGCCTTTAAGTATAATAGTAAAGTAATGATATTACTATTACTATTAGTATAAAAAGTTATGTTGACTACTGTTTGGACCAATGAGATTGCAGCTATATTTAGATCATATGAGCCGTGTCACGAGAAAACCAACATAATGGGTTTGCGACCAGCATGGATCCAGACCAGCCTGCACACCCGCGCAGTCTTATCAGGATCCATGCTGTTCGCTATCAGTTTCACTACTTGTTATTGTGTTGGTAAGCGAACAGCATGGATCCTGATCAGACTGCGCGGATGCGCAGGCTGGTCTGGATCCATGCTGGTGGCAAACCCATTATGTTGGTTTTGTCGTGACACGGCTCATATAATAATGTAGTATATTGCCCATATAGATAAGAACATAAAAAGTTTGTTTCAAGCACCTGTGATTTGGCTATAATGTAAACTGAAATACATGTATCCAGTTACGCAGGAAGGTGAAAATTGCGCATAAATTATGAAAAATTAACGTCGAATCTGTGCCAATCTATGACCTATACAACCAACAAGGAAAGTAAACAGACCTAATTGTATTTCAGTAAATCAAATTGAAAGAAAACAATTTGCGCATACGGTGCTTAGACATTATATTTTAACCAGCATTATAAGTTTTTATAAGAAAGTCTTTTCAAGATCATTTGTGAGAATGAAGACCTGGCTACCGTATTGACGGCGACTTTTGTTTCTCGTCCCTGTATATAATAACAATAAAGTATTATAAGAACATTATAAGTTTTGATTTTCGGTATACTGGAGACATTCACTGAACTATTGTGTCTCATTAATTATGATACTTAAAAGAAGCTGTAAATGATTCCGTAACTTTCTATAACATAACCAGTTTTGCCACAGTGCAACATTAATTGAATCGGTGTAACCTCTTAAAAAGTGAATAGGTCACATTATCGTCTTACTTTATTATTATTAGACAGGGGTAGTTTAGCAAAATGTCTAAGGTATATCGACTATATAAAACTATAATGAAATACATACCTTATTATATAAAAAATTATAGATAAATAAATGTAGACGAAACAAAAGAAATTGCTTTCAACCACTGCTGCCAGGTCCGCATTCTCACAAAAAGTAATTAATTGTCTTGGAAACATATTTAATGAAGTTTAAAATATAATGTTTTAACACCTAAATTAGCAGACATTTGCGCTTATTCATTTCTTTCAATTTGACTAACTAAAATACATGTATATTGGAATGGTGAAAGTTTAAGTCTTAGATATACACAGTTCTGCATTACAATTGCACAGTTCACGCATTATTTTCTTAAGTTCATTTGAGGCATGTGGTTTCAACATAAACATTGCTTGCAAGAAGTCACCCTACTTCTCCTGCACGCTATAAACAGTATAAAATACAGAGCTAATTGAATAGTCTAAACCTAAACTATAAAACATGTGGCAAATGGTTCAAAAGTCAGCATTCTCTACCACTAAGCCACCAAAAACATTTTATACACTAGCGTAACAATGATATCAGATCGAACTAACAAATATGGATTCAGATTGAGGTATAAAACATATAATTGTTCAAGTATCTAATATCAAGCTTGTACAAATAAGTTCATTTTCTAAATAATCAAAATGTTCATAGATTCATGGGAAATGATTACATGATTATCAATAATGTATGAAATATAATGAAGTATTTTTTGTTAATATCCGACAATAATATCATACAGAAGTGTACCTTGTATAAAATACAACTTTCCTTGATTGGTAATGAATATTAAAACCACAAGTAAAATTGCATATTAACCAAATAGGTATTAACATTAAATGAAAATGCATTTTATAAAAAATAGAAGATCCAAAGTGGATCCACGGCAGTACATTTCAATATTGAATAAAAAAAACCTACGAACACACGAATCATATGATGAACATAATGTTTTTAATGCCCTATATATTGTAGATATTGAATGTTTCTTAATAATGATATCAGCTGTAAAATATCAGAAAATATATAAATTTTAAAGATGAATCTTATTCTGATTTTATTTTGGGTTCCCCTCCGTGCATTATTCAGGCACGGACATTACAAACGATTTTTCAAACATGTTTGGCGAACAATTCTATATATATATATGTATGAAAAAGTTCATCCCTAGAATTATTTTAAAATGGCCTTGGTGAATTAAACAACAGTTATCACAATAACTGAAGAATACCTTACTCAACTATTCATTCTTGACAGTAATATGGAAAAAATATTTTCTAAAAAAAAAAAAATATATATATATATAAACAATTAATGATGTAACAAATTTAATGAAAAACCATGCTCGAGTTATAGACCTCTGTCAGTGATTTTCAGTTATTGTTACTAAACAGAAATTCAAAGTAAATACCTTCTGTGGTTAATGAGAAAAGATGTGTACAAAATCTCTTCCAAATCTAATAGAAGAAATTAACAATTTCAGTCACAGAAAATCTATGCATAAGTTATCTTTGTCAGTGACTCAAAAAATGTCTGAAATTCATCAAAAGATGCGTACAAAACCTTTACTTAGTGTTATGCCCAAACTAACGCCAAAGCACTAAGCATAGCTCCCCCATTTTCTTCTAATAGTCAAGCTTTTAGAAGCCCTTTTAACAAATAGTGAATGTCCTAAACTTATGATATCAATGCTTACTAACTATGCACAAGTTGGGCAAAAATTTCATAAGGATATTGATACTTCTTTTACTGCAAAACTTTAAATGTGAGAAATGGCTGTAACAAATAACAACTGTATTTAACTTGCTCTGTAAAACTGCTTTAAATCTCTTATCAACTACCCTTTGTCTTTACAACTTGCTTAAAGTTTTCACAAAGCACATGTTTTTAAATGTTTAATTAATTATTTAATCTAAATAGTTTACAATCATATCAATATGAAATATGGAAACTTATCAATTCTTTCACAGATAATTTTTATACTAGTAATTTCAGAGATGGCCTGAACCTATTTCTAAACATGCATCCATTCATTCACAGATTAGTTTTTTTTGCAGACACATTCAGTTTTTCGTAACTGGTTTCAGCTTCTTTGATCCTACAGCTGAAAAACAAAACAAAATATCCTTTCCGTTACAATTGATTCAATGAAATGTAAAAAATTATAAAGTATATACAGCTACATATGAATCTAATAATAATCTGTTACTAGTTAATAAATAAAAATTCTCAGAATCCTGCACCACTAGAAACTATTCTTTGCAGGTTCCTGCCAAGATCTGAACAAGGTTTCTACAACAATCTGAACATTCTTCAAAATCTCTTAAAAAATGATAGTAAAGAGTATGTACTACTATTTTTTCTAAACTTCCTTTTGTTTATCATCAAACTTACCTTTAACATAGCACACCTCCGCATCTACTCCTAGTTTCTGTAAATAGTCTATCCATAATATCTGTTTATATGACAGTCTGTCATTGGGACCCTTCACCTCACAGATCTATAAATGTATGTTCAACATTTCTTGTAATGTCCGTTGAATATCATCTCTGCATTTTATTACAATTCAATCAGACATTAGAATCAATTTTCAAGTTATCAGCTTAGGATTACATAATCAAAATCATATATAAGTTCTGACTACCAAACTTGTTTAAGCCAGACCATGAAGATATTTAGCAACAAGCTTTGCAAATAGCTTTCAGCCATTCTTCCAGGTTTCTTCTAGGCTTAATGGATACTTTACACACCATGTTTATTTTGTTGCATTTTTCAAATGATAAATTGTCTAAAGCTATGCTGCCTAAAAATGTTTAGGTGATATTATGCTCATTTGTTTGCTGTCCAGTTTACAGCTGACTAATATAATCAGTATTGACCAATAAACGATTATGTAAAATGATAGGTAGCCTAAAATAATATAAAAAATATTGCCCCATTCTTTTTATCAATTGAATGTTACCTATATATTTCAAAGAATATTTATAGAAATTCCAATGAGTCACATTGATTATACATATAAAACAGAATATAAAATTAAAAACATTTAGAGCAAACTCTCAGATTATTTGGACTTTTACCAGAACACTCAACATTTACACTTGAATGGGCATTTAGATCAATTTTAAAATTCTCTTTTTGAACCTATACATTCTGTTTTATTTTCTATAAAATCTACATGTATCAAATTTGATAAAGAAAGATAAAAAACTGTTTGTACACATTATACCTACATTGTGTAACAAATATTATGCAAGAACATAATTAAGAATCCATGAACTGTATAGATTAATTTTCAAAGATTTACGTGATTTTTAACCTTAAATTGTTTGGTTTCTGTGTTCCATAGAGTCAGATCAGGGAATCCACTTCTTGTATGCCTTGGATCTTTCACATATCTTTCTAAAATTCCAGCAATAATAGGTCCTCCCATACAGCTAATGAGGTTCTACCAGATAATAAATTATAAAATAGATTAGTACATCTATAAAGCAATGGTTCTCATACTCTTACTTCAACTGTATAACAACTGATAACTAGAGTTCTTATACACGAGTATTTTGTCCCTTTTTCTGATTTTAAAACACGTTTTGGTACTTTTTTTAAATTTAGAACAGTCTATTTCTTTGAACAGTCCATTTCTTATAACAGTCCATTTTAGATACAATTTCAAGGTTAAGAAGCTTAAAGAAAAAAATCTAAACAGACAAAAAGGTTGTCAACCAGTACTGTCTTAAAGTCTATTCTACATGGCAACAATCTGTACCATGGGCAAAAGTATTCAGAAATGTTTTTTCTATTCTTTCTTCAAACAAAAAATATATATTCTTAACAAATATAACAGAAAATATATTTTCCTTATCTGCCAAAAATAGCCACAACAATTATTTCATAAAGAAAATATTAAATGTAAAAAAATATACATGTATTCATTATAAAAAATGGATAATAGCTCTTCTTGTTTCATCTATAACATTTAACATGAAAATGTACTCAGATTTACATTCTACTATAACCATCTTCTATAACCTACTAAAAATGACTTACTTGGTGAGTGTCAGGTCCAGAGAATTTATCCCAGCTGATCCCAGAACACATCTTACCTTCATGTTCACTCCAAACACGGCCAACTTCTGTATTTAACTCCTTAACAAAACAGAAAACTTTAGTAAGTTAGTAAGTAACGACTTTATTTAACGACGCTTATACATTCCGTTTCCCGATCTTCCATGTGGGCCTCAGTATGTGAATACAAAGAAACTATTTATCATTCTTTTATCGGAAATTGTTATTAGCTTGTCTGTTTTGCAGAAAAAGTCGAGCTTTTATGATTTATGATTGCTTTAACATCATTTAACTTTGCATCAAACTGACATAAAAACATTAGCATCATCTTCAGTATTAATGAATGTCTGTTATATTCAAAACCCTATCAATAACCAATCTTTACAAACATTCTAAGTTAAAAGGGGACATAACTCCTAAATATATTGCTTTCAATATAACGCCCTTTGTCTAACAACTGCAGCTAGTATACCAAGCTCAGTGTTGATACCTTTTTAACCCTTTACCACATATATACGCGAAACAACGCACTTTCGACCCCCCCCCCCTTTTTTAGGCCTCAAATAGTGAAAAAATGTCCTATTTGGGCCCCAAACATAAGTTTTTGTTTGAGAAATGTTGCTAAAAAAAATGAGCACTTTTTCGGCGCCGCCCCCCATCCAAAAGATACATCAGGGGGTTGCCAGAATGGGGATGTGCCCCCTTCTGTTAGGGGGGTTTGAAGGGGGGCGGAGTCCCCCTCATCGCCAAGAAAATTTTGGACTTGTGAGAGGCTAAAAATGACCCGAGGTCGATCATAATGTAACGTGTAACCAACGCTGAAAAGCCTTTGACTCTATCTCAATCCCTTGAGAAGTTGCAGCACTTTGAAATAAATTTTGATGGAAAAAATCGAGGCAAAATAGTGATTTTTGGCAATTTTGAGATGTCCCCTCGTTGCCATGGTAACAGGAAATTTAAGACTGAGCATGTCGTTACAAAGGCAATGGTCCAGTCAACATTTGTGCCAAGTTTGATAAGTATTGAAGCATTTTTCATAGTTTCATAGCAGTTTGAACTTGTAACAGGAGGCTTTTCAGTGAAAACGGCCATTTTTCAAAATATGCTCATGGGGGAAAGGGTTAACTAAAAAAAACATAAATGTTACAAAACAACAATTTTTCACCAAAATTAGGTGAAAGACCACATGTTAACATGGAAAAACTAGTTTTTAGGTGATTCCAAAGTTTTTCATCATTTTTTGTTAACCCTTTACCACATATATACGCGAAACAACGCACTTTCGACCCCCCCCCCCTTTTTAAGGCCTCAAATAGTGTAAAAATGTCCTATTTGGGCCCCAAACATAAGTTTTTGTTTGAGAAATGTTGCTAAAAAAAATGAGCACTTTTTCGGCGCCGCCCCCCATCCAAAAGATACATCAGGGGGTTGCCAGAAGGGGGATGTGCCCCCTTCTGTTAGGGGGGTTTGAAGAGGGGCGGAGTCCCCCTCATCGCCAAGAAAATTTTGGACTTGTGAGAGGCTAAAAATGACCCGAGGTCGATCATAATGTAACGTTTAACCAACGCTGAAAAGCCTTTGACTCTATCTCAATCCCTTGAGAAGTTGCAGCACTTTGAAATAAATTTTGATGGAAAAAATCGAGGCAAAATAGTGATTTTTGGCAATTTTGAGATGTCCCCTCGTTGCCATGGTAACAGGAAATTTAAGACGTTACAAAGGCAATGGTCCAGTCAACATTTGTGCCAAGTTTGATAAGTATTGAAGCATTTTTCATAGTTTCATAGCAGTTTGAACTTGTAACAGGAGGCTTTTCAGTGAAAACGGCCATTTTTCAAAATATGCTCATGGGGGGAAAGGGTTAAATGATTGAATAATTGGCTACATTTAAGTATTTGCATTATGACACAATGATGTTAAAGCAATTTGGATGGGGGGGGGGGGATGATATCGTGATATCGAGTTTTAAATCACAATGACACATATTGCAACTTTCCAGTCTTACTGGTGGAGGAAGACCTCCCATGTCCCTCCATGCACCTGAACAGAACCACCATGCTAAGTACTAAGGCACATAGTAGTAGTATACAGGATACACATATAGTTAAAACCAATGACACCCCTGAGGCGTGGCCAATTTTGACCCCAGGGCTTTTATTTGAACAAACTTTTTAGACAATTACTAGAAAATGTTTCATGCTTAATATCTAAACTCTAGCTATTTGGGTTTTTTCAAAGAAGATTTTTAACTTTTTGCTAATCAAATATAAGGAAAATCAATAACACCCGGGGCAAGGCCAATTTTGACTCCAGGGCTTTTATTTGAACAAACTTTGTAGACACTCACTAGAAGATGTTTCATGCTTAATATCTAAACTCCAGCTATTTGGGTTTTTTTAAAGAAGATTTTTTAAGTTTTTGCTATATACAAACAAGGAAGATCAATGACCCCCGGGGCGGGGCCAATTTTGACCCCAGGGCTTTTATTTGAACAAACTTGGTAGACACCAATTAGAACATGTTTCATGCTAAATATCTTAGCTCTAGCTCTTTGAGTTCTTTAAAAGAAGATTTTTTAAGTTTTTACTATATGCATATAGGGAAAATCAATGACCCCCTGGGGCGGGGCCAATTTTGACCCAAGGGCTTTTATTTGAACAAACTTTGTAGACACTCATTAGAAGATGTTTCATGCTTAAGATCTAAACTCTAGCTATTTGGGTTTTTTCAAAGAAGATTTTTAAGTTTTTTTCTATATGCATATAGGGAAAGTCAAAGACCCCCTGGGGCGGGGCCAATTTTGACCCAAGGGCTTTTATTTGAACAAAACTTGGTAGACACTCATTAGAAGATGTTTCATGCTAAATATCTTAGCTCTAGCTCTTTGGGTTCTTTAAAAGAAGATTTTATAAGTTTTTACTATATGCATATAGGGAAAACCAAAGACCCACTAGGGCGGGGCCAATCTTTACCGCTGGGCTTTTATTTGAACAAACTTGGTAGACACTCACTCGAATATGTTTCATGCTTAATATCTAAACTCTAGCTATTTGGGTTTTTTCAAAGAAGATTTTTTAAGTTTTTACTATATGCATATAGGGAAAATCAATGACCCCCTGGGGCGGGGCCAATTTTGACTCCAGGGCTTTTATTTGAACAAACTTGGTAGACACTCATTAGAAGATGTTTCATGCTAAATATCTTAGCTCTAGCTCTTTGGGTTCTTTAAAAGAAGATTTTATAAGTTTTTACTATATGCATATAGGGAAAATCAAAGACCCCCTGGGGCGGGGCCAATTTTGACCCAAGGGCTTTTATTTGAACAAACTTGGTAGACACTCACTAGAAGATGTTTCATGCTTAATATCTTAGCTTTAGCTCTTTGGGTTCTTTAAAAGAAGATATTTTAAGTTTTTACTATATGCATATAGGGAAAATCAAAGACCCCCTGGGGCGGGGCCAATTTTGACCCCAGGGCTTTTATTTGAACAAACTTGGTACACATTTATTAGAAGATGTTACATGCCAAATATCTAATCTCTAGCTCTTGGGGTTTTTTAAGAGAAGAAATTTGAAGTTTTTTCTTTCGGTTGCCATGGCAACCAGAGTTCTGCATGGAATTAAATTCTTTGAACAATTTTTAAAGGTGACCACCAAAGGAACATTCCTGTTAAGTTTGGATGAAATTGGCTTAGTGGTTTATGAGGAGATGTCATTTAAAGTAAAAGTTTATGGACGGACGCCGGACGGACGGACGCCGGACGAAAAGCGATCACAAAAGCTCACCCTGTCAGTTTGTGACAGGTGAGCTAATAACGGCTCATGATATATACATTGTATAAGTAACTATACAGTTACTGGCAGTTGTTGATCAGAAAAAAAACAAGAGCACCGCTAGGCGGAGCATTATATGCCCGAAAGTGTTTTTTTTTATATTAAGGATGAAGCATTTGTAAGACATTATATAAATTAAATAAAGTATTACCTCCTTCCAATAGCAATCCTCCTATAAAGTTTGAAAATTGTGGGCCAAATAGAAATTAAGTTATGCTCCGGAAACTGTTTTCAGTTTTAAAGTACAGTCGAGACTGCCTTAGCGACCCCCTGATTTCAACGACTCCCTGTCTTATCCCACCTTGTTTCAGTCCTCCCAACGTACATGTACTTTCCTATATAAATGGTCTGAATTATACGACTCCCTGTCATATGTGACAAGCGACCCTAATTATCTGGTCCCAATGCATTGCTTTGTCTGATTTAAACGACTTTCACACCTTTTAATTGTCCGTTAATCAGATAAATAATACCTGTTTTAACACCCAGAGAGACAAAATAATTAAGTCCAATTATAATCCAGTAGTCAGTACTCTTCAAACAAACTCTACACACCTCTGATTACATGTATATATGCAGGTGTCAAGTGACGTAGCGTCTGGAGTGTCCGTAGCGTCTGATGCAATCGATGTGTGTTAACAAATTGAGGTCACAGGTGTAATGAATATAATGAACTGAGTAAACTGGATTAAGACTTGTGTTTAAAAATTATGGAGTGAAGATTTTTTAGGCAGAATCTTTTTTTTATTTTACCTTTCTATTGCTGCATGGATAATACGGAAAAATGTTGATACCAGACTAATATGGATATGTTTTTAAAAGTATGATATTTATTTTAAGGATTTGAATGCATCAAATTCAAGTTTATTTTGTACCATAATGATTCAATATTAAACTAATACAAAAAATAAAATTATATTTTATATGATATACATACTATTATATTTGCTTTACAGGGATTCTTATTTTATTTACATCAAAAATTTAAAGTACCTATGTGTATTTGCAATTGGTTAGATATTATTCCTTCACACAGTTATACAGTATATATATGTTAAGTCACAATGATATATAGACAGATAGATGGTATTTAAATTTTAATTTTCTATGAGACTGTATTAAGAGACTCCCTGTCATATGTGACCTTTTTCTCAAGATCCCTTGGAAAGTCACATATGACAGTCTCGACTGTAATAGTGACCTTTGACCTTGTGACCCAAAATCAATAGGGGTATTCTACCCAATATGGACAATCATCCTATGAAGTTTGAATATTGTGGGCCAAATAGACCCTAAGTTATGCTCCCAAAACTGTTTGCAGTTTTAAAGTAATAGTGACCTTGACCTTTGACCGTGGGACCACAAAATCAATAGGGGTCTCCTACCCAATATGGACAATCATCCTATGAAGTTTGTATATTGTGGGCCATATGGAAATAAAGTTATGCTCCGGAAACCATTTTTAGTTTTAAGGTAATAGTGACCTTGACCTTTGACCTTGTGACCCCAAAATCAATAGGGGTATCCTACCCAATATGGACATTCATCCTATGAAGTTTGAACACTATGGGCCACATGGAACTTAAGTTATGCTCCAGAAACTGTTTAATAGTGACCTTGACCTTTGACCGTGTGACCACAAAATCAATAGGGGTCGGGGTCTTCTACCCAATATGGACAATCATCCTATGAAGTTTGAACACTGTGGGCCAAATGGAACTAAAGTTATGCTCCGGAAACAGTTTTCAGTTTTAAGGTTAAAGTGACCTTGACCTTTGACCCCTTGACCCCAAAATCAATAGGGGTCTTCTACCCAATATGGACAATCATCCTATGAAGTTTGAACACTGTGAGCCTAATGGAACTTAAGTTATGCTCCGGAAACTGTTTTCAGTTTTAAGGTTATAGTGACCTTGACCTTTGACCTTGTGACCCCAAAATCAATAGGGGTCTTCTACCCAATATGGACAATCATCCTATGAAGTTTGAATGTTGTGGGCCAAATGAAACTTAAGTTTTGCTCCGGAAACTGTTTTCAGTTTTAAGATGATAGTGACCTTGACCTTTGACCTTGTGACCCCAAAATCAATAGGGGTCTTCTACCCAATATGGGCAATCATCCTATGAAATTTGAATGTTGTGGGCCAAATGGAACTTAAGTCATGCCCAGGAAACCAAATTATTAACGGACGGACGGACGTCCGGCCGAAATGGAATAAGGGGCCATTTCTTTTGTTATTTTCTATTGTTTAATAGAGGGCCAATGGCCCCTTACTCTATTGTTACGGAATGAACTCTATTGTTCTCTTTTGTTCTGTTTACAGTTAGATGGCCCCCTATCCTTATTCGGTAGTGGGGACAGACAGACGAACGGACGCCAGGGGGTATAACATAATATGCCCGAAATTCTTTCGGGCATATAAAAAAGTTTTCTGTGTAGAACAACATACAATCTAAAATTAGCTTCTAATTAAACCTTACCTCTATGGAAGCATTTTTCAGCCATTCCAGTCTTTCTTCTGTAACCTGTTGCCTGTTGAGGTAGAAATCTTGTGTGGCTATATCAAGAGGACAGGACTGGAATGGTCCATGGAACACATTTGGAACATCCATGTACATGATGTCCCAGAATAACAAAACAAACAGGTTACTAACTATAGATCCCTCCGCATGAAGACCTAAAATGATCAGAATTTATTAGAATTACCTTCTAAAAATGTGATTTAAGTACACTTTGCATTATCTGAACAATATCATTTAGTTTAGTTAAATTTATATATTTTCATTTACTTGTGAAACAGATTTTTCTAAACTCACATTTATTACATTTGTGTGGAATGCCTAAAATTACTAGTACAATAGTACAAGGATTTAATAGGTAGCTATTCAGTACTCCTAATGGTCTATTCATATATCCTACCAACAACATCTCAATTACTGCGAATTCACTTATATTCGTGGGCATGAAATTTCGTGGTTTTATCAAAACGGGCCTTTTCGTGGGTTCTTAAATTCATGGATTTTCATTTTCTAGTAAAAAAAAATTAACCGTCGCGCATTTTTACTTACCGCGTGAACATATCTTTACGTTTCACACAGCGCTTGTCAATAATCTAATCCTTGCCTCTAGGCATAACATAAAGATAGCAGTTACTGCTGATAATTGACTGCAATTAACACATCTAGATGACATGATATGCAGCTCCATTGTACACACTGCCCCTGTGATTCGCCGATGTAAACATTGCATAATTTATACGACCCCTGACACGTTTAAACCAGCGAGTTTACACCCTGAATCGGTCTTACTATATTTGACAGTAACTACACGCAACATAACATCGACTGTGTAAATTTACATGCATATAAATTAATATGAGTGAATAATACGAGATTGTGTGGATATATTAAGAAGTCGGCAGCGTCTTTGATGTTTACGGAATAGCAGTCGCACAATTACAGATTAAGATTTAAACTTGATCATTAAAGACGACAAAACGATGTACAATACATCCGTTTTAGTGATTGTTTATTGTTTTTTGTGTACTTTCCTTTCGTCATTAATATCAAAGATTTCTTTAATTCTATTAACAATTAATGAGAGCAAACTGATAATTTACATTAGCGCTAATTATTGCACTGGTTTCCCATTTTTACTCGATTATGTCAAGTATTCTGGATTACACAATCAAGTAGCCTACAACAATTAAGCAGTCTCAGTGATGTGTATATACGACCGAAATTCAGGACATATAGTCGACTTTGCTTTCAAGTTTCTTAAATATTGCAAACCTAAACTATTTATAGATTTAATCTGTCACTAACCTGATTATCTGTATACCATCATAACACAATAATCGACGGAAAAAGCGGCGACGCATGTATAGAATAGAGACATGGTTAGAAGTAATTGTTGGGATAAAATTTCGTCGGATCTTAAATTCGTGGATTGACCTACCCACGAAAACCACGAAAATTCGTGCCCCACGAATAATAATGATTTTACAGTATTACTTTAAACAATTTTATCATGGAAAAAAATCCAAAAAAAATCTGTGTTATAAAAATACTCAAAATGTGTCATAAAAGCATATTTAGTGAAGTTATGTGCCCATTAAACATATACTAATTCCATCAAGAAACTAAATCAAAGAAAACCAACAGAAAATAGAAATTTGCTACAACATTTTTTCATTGAATACTCAACAATAACGAAAAATAAAAATAAATGAAACCTTCAGGGTAGCCATTTTGTTTGTAATGTTCAAGCACTAATTCCTCAACACCACAGAATGTGACCGAGTCTGAGTCCCCCTGCATGACAAACTTATACTTCATACCTACAGCTGTAGCATCTGATACAACCATACCTTCTATATAAACCTAGATTCCAGAATAAAACACTCAAAAACTGAATTTTAAATTCTATCATATAGGTATAAATGCAAGTCTATGTGAAATTACAAATGAGAGCATTTTTATAATAAAATTCAAACCTGGGGTTGATTACACTGATCAGTAATTGATTTAATTACAGTTACTTTCAGATTTTATTCTGATTGATTACTCAGGCTTGCCTCTGTAATCAATTAAATTACAATTACTTTAAGAGATTGATAATTGAATTTATAAACATACCAAAATTTATATATAATAATATATATAGTCTGTTGGATAAGACTCATTAAAACCAGTCCTAAGCAATGGATTTTTACACCTTACCCATTAAAAAACAAGTTACTTTGCCAGGAATGGATTTTTACATGAGGTACACCATCATAAAAAATATCAAATTACTAACAGTTTTCTACAATGAGACACCTGAATATGTTTCAACATATTTCATGCACAATAATGGCATTTTTAAAAGTGGTCCACCTAAATAATTTATATTTTCCATAACATAAGGATGTATAATTCCCTTACCAATTTTATGATCTGTATAATTCCTTACCCATTTTTATAATCATAAAGTCCATACTTTAACCAATATGATAATGCCACCTTACGTTAAATGTTTAAGGTAAAATAGAAAAATTAGAATATCTTACAATTTAATGAAGGAAATCAGAATAAAGCAACAGAAACATCTAACAAACCTCAGGTGTTGGAAGGACTGCCTGGGGTTCAAACTCACTGATTCTATCAGCATACTTGGACTTCGGGGCCTCGCAAATTTTGCGTGCCCTCTCATACAGAGCTAGTCGTCTTCCAGTTCGTACTGTAGAATCTGATAAACCTCGCTTCAATACATTGAAGCTCTGAAAATAGTATTTATACAAGAATATTTTTGAGCAGCTTATAATTGGTATTATCTGAAATAATAAGCACAAAGGCTTATGTGGTAGAACATCAAACTTACGAATCACACATGAACTGGAAAGATATAAAACATTTCTAAAACTACAAGCTGTCATATTTGCTAATGGTTTAAGAACAATAACATCAGTTACACTATTGGATATTCCCAAATGTCGCTTTGATAAAATTCAGAAGCATGGTCTTACAGTGAGAAAAAAGGGTCATCTTAAAGACACAGAAACTTTAACCTAAACATAATGCTAATCCACGAACAATTTGGAGAACAAAAATATATTTTGGTCTGATGCCGGCTAGGGAATGCAATGTAGAGAAATATTAGAATAATTGTTTTTCATCAAATAAGTATCAACTAGACATGAAATTTGGTTGATATAATGAAACTTATTGAACTTGTTAGCTGTTCAACAAGTCCTCATTTTATACAATTAGACACCAGTACAATATAAGTGAACAATAATTTTAATAACACCTAAAAGAAGATGAATGAAAGATTCCTGCTCATAAATATTGTGTACCAAATATGAAGCATGTATTATAAATCTAAGCATAACATGACCTAAGTGAAAAATCTAAAAACATAAACATTTTTTGAGTGTAAAGTGCAGCAAAATCAATTCTTTAAACCTTTTGTACAGACTTCAGATGAGCTTCTAAATTAAGAGCCAGTCTCTCATACCAGTGACCTCGATACTGGACACAGTACAAGTCCTGGGCTAGCAGCTCTTCTAGGAGGTCAACAGCTTCCTTGTACAGTTTCAGTCTCTGTAAAATCTCCACACCTTGGTTGTCTATGCGTGTGTACACACTTCCAGCTGTATACAGTCGTAAAAACTGAGGTAAACCACTGTCCCAGCTGTGATCAGATAAAAGTCAATGTTGCAAAATAAGTAACAGAAAGAGCATCGAAACATAAGGCTAACTACTTTGTACGAGGGCTCATAGCCCCCAAAGTATAAATCCAATTGCTAAGTGTTTTGATGTTCTTTCTCTCTTGTATCATAGGCAAAAATAACTCTTTCCTGTCGTCACAAAATGAAACCCCAGAACAAATGTAACCAATGTATAATCATCTCAAAATAACCTTTTATCATTATTTCTGTCATCACAACAAGTAAACCACACAAAAAATGAAGCCAATCAACAGTCGTTAATCCAGACAGTGCAGTAACTAAACTAATACCTGCACTCCAGTGTGCATTTATGTGTATACAATTAAACACTGACACAGAAAGGTCTTCAAACAATAAACAGTAATTACACAATTGTAAATTAATTCTTTCCGTTTTAGAGTAAAGATTTTGCTTGAAAAAAGGCATTAAAACTTTCAAACACTGTAAAATCATGAAACTGGATATAAATTAAAATATTTTTCTTGCATTTTTTATCCTCTCAATAAGAGATACACATATATGTCGAACAAAAACTCATGGGTTACTTAAGACATATTTGGGAAAAATTCCCTTGTATTATTTGGGATCATTGGATCTAAATAAACAATAAATATTAGGATAATGAATTACGCCACAACACAGGGCAGATTAAAGTCTGTTAATATGAAACAAACATCTGTCAACATTGGAATAGTCCCTAAACAGCATACATTTATAACTCTCTTAATAAGTCGAATGAGTTTTCATTTACCAGTGTCATCGCTCACAAAAACAAACTAATACAAAACTTACTTCATAAATTGTTTGTCCTTGCAAATATGCTTGCCAACTTCTCTAGCTTGTTTATATATATTGTTTGCTTGTACCCACTTGTTTCTCTCAGTCATACCCTGAATGTCCATCTCAAACTGAAGGGCAGTCTCAAACCTGTTCATATATAATTTAAACAAGTTAGTAAAACATTATATATACCATTTACAACTTGTGAAGTTAACTCAGAAGCTGTTATTATATACAAGAGGGTTTAATATGCCTTTTATGTGGTGGCATGGCCAAGTGGTTAATGTGTTGGACTATATTCTAAGGATTGTTGAATGTGGGGGTTCAAACCCCATCAGGGATGAGCAAGAAACTTTACATGCATTGCTTAGTACTGGTCTGTTTTAGGAACGGATTGGAGAGTGTTACGGTAAGCTTACAATTTCTGACAATTGAACCTTAAAGAAATTCATATAAACTAATATGCCTTTTTTGTATATTTGCATAATTGTGCAGAGGCAGGAGAACATATTTAAATCCCAAGCCAGTGGAATGAAGGATAAAATAAGTTTGAGGGCATCCACAGATATTACTGTACAAAAAAGGGGCATGAGTGGTATCTTGCATAAACTGATTTGGTAATTCTATATTTCCTTATTTGTTTTTCATATCAAGATATTTCAATGACAAAATTACAAGGGTTGTCATTGCTATTAGCTATCTTAACATGAAGCCCAGAGTAAAAACATGCAACAACAATGTGTGCTAAAATGATTTTGTTTGTTAATGCAACTATTTGTCTCTGCAAGAATGGTCTTAAAAACTAACTCCTTAATAAGAGATCTCTTTTGATTTAGTTTTAAAGATAAATTATGCTCAAATTTGATATTTGAAAAAAAACTGATAAGGTATTTATTATTCAGTCTTTTTTTGATTTTTTTTTAAAAATAAACATCTATGGAATACACACAGAGAAATTATGTTACATTTTACATGAAATAACAGTATGATTACATAGTGTCATTAAAAATACTGACAGTTTTTATAAGAATAGACAAATAAAATTGACAAGTTATATGGAATGCAACTTCTCAAACATAGTTTATACATTCACTTTATCTTATTCAAATTAGACATATTCAACAAGTACTTACCAGAATTCAATAAAATTCTGCAAGAAAAGTATTTTACCAAAAGCATCATACATCTTTAAATGAGGAAGTTAAAATTTTTATACCTCACAAGAGCATCCCTATCTTGAAACACAGACCTGTCTCTATTGACCGTGTAAGAAGGGTAGACAACTCTACCTATATTAACCATGAGCATTTGAAAGCTGTAAGGTAATTCACATGTTTGAGTCAGCAACACAGTACATTTAAATGGTCATTACATATGCCAGTACATATCCAAAGTAGATCAATCAATAAAACATGTAAATAATTACATATATTATATGTAATAAAAAGCATGGGATTTTAAAGTGACATTATGCTTTTTATATTTTAGGCAGTTTCATATTTTATCCTTAACATTTTCCACATCAACTGTTGGTCAGTCACCATTGTAAAAGTCAATCTTTTGAAATATATAGAGAAGTCAGCTCAAGTTGACAATGAAAATTGGAGCATAATATGAGCCGCGTCACGACAAAACCAACATAATGGGTTTGCGACCAGCATGGATCCAGACCAGCCTGCGCATCCGCGCAGTCTGATCAGGATCATTGCTGTTCGCTTACAAACCCTATAGCAAGTAGTGAAACTGATAGCGAACAGCATGGATCCTGATCAGACTGCGCGGATGCGCAGGCTGGTCTGGATCCATGCTGGTCGCAAACCCATTATGTTGGTTTTGTCGTGGCGCGGCTCATATCTCTTTAATTTATACAATAAAACCAAAACTGAAAAGCCTTCATCACAAGTATAAAACCTAGAACAGCCTAAGTGCATACATGCTGTTTTATCAAAATAGTCATTCCTGACATCCCTATTATGGATAATGGACTATTCTACAATAAAAGTTGCACATGTCCATTCAGATATTAACTAAAAATATAAAAGGGTATTGCATATTGTTTAGAATATACATGTAAAACATAATTATGTACAATCAGCTAAAATTTCTAAGACATAGATAGTATGTGTTTTCACTGAAGTTCTTTTTTACAATATAAGGCACTAAAGATAGTAAAGGCAACATTTATAGTTTAAAATCTTCAGAAACCTAGAAACTATATACAATAATCATCTAAATTAAATAATATGCTTTTTTCTAAATTAAAATAGAAACAGAAAACAAATTACATGGCATTGAAATCTGTAGTAAAATATCGAGATTAATAAGAAACTAGAATTCTTACAGTTGATTCTGTCCACCGCCACCACTTTCTTCATCAAAGTTGGTATTGTATAAGGAAAACAACATCAACAATCGTATAAACACAGCCCTTGGTTCATCTTTCAGTCTACACACTTTACCGAGGTAACTCTTGGCTCTAGATGTAAAAAAGTCATATTTTCAACATTTCGATAATATATATACACGTTTATTACCCTTCCAGTTTTTTTCCGCCTTTTTGATTGGACATTGATCACCCGAAAGAAATTGATATGACCGAGCCAGGCGGGTAATATACACACTAAATTTCCCCCGTTGGGTACCCAACGTTGTAAACAACATGCGCTGAGGTGATGCGCGTACGGTTCGATTTTATGCGGTGTAAATTCCGATTTAAAAGCACTTTTTAACTGTCAAATGATCAATATTTACCAAAGTAGAGTAATGATACATATTACCATCAGTATCGAAAACAAATATGACCCTGTGAAAGCTTGATATTAATTACAAAAAGTGCGTTCAATAGACTACTCCTTTTCTCTTGTTTACATTCGTTAAGTACTGGAAAATACGTCATGTATTTATGTGACGTCATGTTGTGACGAGAGGTACCCTAAAGGGAGTCTTATTTCGACGTTTCATTTAAAACAGCAATGATTTTTTTAAAAATCGTCTAAACTCGGCAGGGGAAGGGTAATAAAATTATTATTTTGGTTTTGGAGTGATATATGTGGATATATTACCTGCCAAGATAAAATATCACCCGAGCCATTAGCAGGTAATATATCCACATATATCACTCCAAAACCAAAATAACATATAATATAACAAGAGGCTAAACTCAACACTGTTTTTATATAAGAAATGTATTACATGTATTGGTAAAACAAAAATTCAGTTATTGAGATATTTTCTAAACTTTCAAAAACTTGACCTTCAAGGTAATGGGTACTTAGTGGTCAAGGTCAAATTTCAAGATACCAAAATGAAGCTTGTGAAGTCCCAGGTATATATTATAATATGTGAGGAATTAAATAAAAAGGTACCTGTTCAATATTGTTTTTTCCATTGTTCCTGTGGAACCCCCTTTAAACATGGCAGAAATTGAGTTTTTCTTGCCTTTCTTCAACAGCTCTTCAATGATGCTAGCTTTTGTCATACCCTGACTGTTAATGTGGAATGTTTTTGCCAATGTCTTTAAATCTGGCGCTGATAATATCTTTAAAACTATTGGCAGGTCTGATAATTCTGTCCCTGAAAAAAAAAGATGTATTTTCACCTCATAACCTTTTTATGAGAAATTGTGCCTACATAACGTAACCGTTGATTACATTATGTACTCCAAAATAGCAACAACATCATTTTTTTAAAATGGCTGCTTTAAATGTTTGAAATTTAGCACACTTATTGGTTAAATTTTGTAATGTTTTATACTATGCACCCTGGTTAACTTATGAGTCTCCTTGGATTGTTATTGCAATGTAAATTTGTGTTACATAAGTTACAGTCAACTTACTCACATACACTACCTTTTAATTCAGCATAAAACACCAAATGGGCTAAGCCACAGATACTATTAAGGTCATAATTATGATGACTTTCCTGAGCTTCCAGTTGGGGAAAGACCTCTGGTGCCCCTGTGTTCAGTATTTCTGGTTCAATTGAATTACATCGCATATCACAGTAGATTTATGGATCTAATAACAGCTTAATGAAATTAGTGTCCTCACTTGTAATGAATGAATGTAAAGTCCCTGTTGGTATTCAAAATTACAAGTGCTGGTGGGTAGCAACTTCAACCACTTATTGTTAAGTAGAAATCAAATTAACCCTAATTTTATAATTAATGTATTTACCTGAATAGAGAAGATCAATCTCTACAAGACCATCAATAAGCTTTGGTATATCATCACTTATCTCTGGGTAGTTCACTTTCGTCATAGGAAGCCAAGTTAATTTCCGAGAGAACAACCTCACATACAGTTTCTGACTTGCCTCTAGAACAAATGAGCCGCGTCATGACAAAACCAACATAGTGCGTTTGCGACCAGCATGGATCCAGACCAGCCTGCGCATCCGCGCAGTCTGATCAGGATCCATGCTGTTCGCCTTCAAACCCTCTTACAAGTAGAGAAACTGAAAGCGAACAGCATGGATCCTGATCAGACTGCACAGATGCGCAGGCTGGTCTGGATCCATGCTGGTCGTAAACGCATTACGTTGGTTTTGTCATGACGCGGCTCAAATATTTAGAGTAAAAGAATATGATATATGTTTATGTAAATGATTTGTAAATAAGATGAAGGACTTTGTACACACATGGCTATATAAAATCAATATCAGAAGCATGTTTTAATTGGATAGAACTTCGTTCCTCAAAACACACATTTGTTTCACTGCAATTATAACCAAGTCCTCTAAAGAACACAGATATATATTGCTTGAAGACAAAGTTAAAGATTCTGAAAAAAAAAGATCTATAAATGCTTTATTTTAATGAAACTTCAGATATTTAAGCAATAGCAATAAGTAACTTTAGGCTGTAGCTAATAATAATTCAAATAAATTCTACAAATTGATCAAAATGGTACAATAGAGACTGATTATATCATTTCAAAACTTTGAATGCAGAGAAAATTACACATAGGATAAATGTATCAAATGATATATGTGTATTAATATCTTTTACTTACCGTCTAAATTATTAAAAGTAGTAATGTACTTCATGTCCATTTCATCAAACAACCTTGCATTCTCTTTATCATCCAAGACACTTTCCAATATTTTCTTAAAGTTTTCTAGGTAGTATGGTACCCTGTACTCTACTTTTTCACCATCTTCTCTCACATCTTCATAAACATCTTCATCAGCATTATCCTTGTCATCAATGTTGACTATTTCTTTATCAGTATCAACTTTATTACTATCAGTAGTTTCATTAACAATCAAACCACTCTTTGATTTTACAGAAGGTTTTGAAATTGACTTACCATTCACTAAACCCTTTTTATGCTTACCGATAACTTCATTTTTATCATATCCATCTTTAGAACTACCAAGGCTTTCAGTGTCTTTCTCATTTGATCCACATGCTTTTTGCATCAAGATAGAATTTACATTAGATTTTTGTGAATCATGATTATTTTTACCCTTCTTACTGTCATTCAAAAATGATTTATTTTCAAGATTTGAAGGATTATCATTTGACAATTTATTTATTTGATTTCTTGACTTATCTTTTGAAATTTTCTTTTTCATTAGACAAGCTGTGTCAGAACTTGATCTCTCCATATCACATTCAAATTTGTCAGATTTTATTTTGAAATTCATACTTTCTTCACTTTTGGATTTCACACTTTCTTGTTCTGCTTCTTTTCCACCTCTAGATTTCTTCAATGAAAGTTTTATTTTTTCAGTAGAATTTGTTAACTTTCTCTTTCCTGAATTGCTAAAGTATTTACTCTTGGATTCAGGTGTCTCCACAACAACAACATCTTCCATAGAACTATCACTACTTTCCCTTTTCTTTTCAATATCGTCAGTATGTTTTCTACTATCAACATTAGATGTAGCCTGATCAGACATTTTATTGACTTTTTCAGTCCTAGCTTTCTCCTCATTATCTTTATCATTATCCTCTTTCTCATTATCTTTATCACTATCACTAACTTCTACAACTGGTACAGTGTTTCTTTTTCTCAGTCTATAATGCCCTCCCTGAGGTCTTGACTCTTGAGCAGATACAGTTCTAGAAAGAGCAGTTTTTCTCTTTTCCTTTTTATTTGATTTCCTTACTTCAAAGTCAGAATCTGATGCACTTTCACGATCTTTTGTATCTGGGAGCTTCCGCTTTTTTCTTCCTGACAAACTTAACCTCTTTGTGGTGTCAGTGCATTGACTTTTATGATGAGCTACAGAACTTGAAGCTGATTCTGAAACATTTTGACAAGTATCTGGAAAACAAAAATAAATTCATTAATTTAAAATAAAACAATTAAATAATTTATATAAAAAAATTAAACTGGTCTTAATACAAGAGCTGTCACAGGAGACAGCTGAGCTCGACTAATAAAATACTGGACGCAGTAAGGAGGACAAAACTATGAAAGAAAAATCAATTATGTATAATTATGTATTAAGTTATAGTAAAAAAAATAACATTTGTTAACATAAATTCCAAGATCAAGGGGAATTATTCTAGAAATAGTCACGCTAGAGTTATGAACCTTGTCACACAACATGTGTATAATGATAAGAAATATATATTTGAAGTTTGAAGTAGATACCTTAAAAAGTAAAGAAGTTATAATATTTCTTAAAGAAAATCTTAAGTTTAAAGAGAGATAAATCTGTAAATATTGCTTCAAGAGTTATGAACTTTGTCACATAAAATGTAATTGATGATAAGGAATAAGTATTTGAAGTTTGAGTTAGATACCTTTAAAACTAAAAAAGTTTTAGTAAAAAATAACATTTTTCTAGTAAAAAAAATCTAAGTTTATGGGGAGATAATTCTTGCAATATTGGTGCTAGAGTTATGAACCTTGTCCATAACATGTGGATGTATTTGAAGTATGAGGTTGATCCCTTAAGAAATAAAGAAGTAACAGTAAAAAAAAGTATTTTTTAAGGAAAATTCTAAGTTCAAGGGGAGATAAATCTGAAATTATTGGTGCTAGAGTTATGAACCTTGTCACATAAGATGGGGATGATGATAACGTACATATATTTGAAGTATGAGGTTGATCCCTTAAGAAAAAAAGAAGTAACAGTAAAAAATAGTATTGTTTAAGGAAAATTCTAAGTTCAAGGGGAGATAAATCTGAAAATATTGGTGCTAGAGTTATGAACCTTCACACATAAGATGTGGTTGATGATCAGGAACATATATTTGAAGTTTGAAGTTGATATCTTAAGAAATGACAAAGTTATAGTGAAAAATATTTTACTGTACTTTAATCTGAAATCTGGACGCCGACACCGGGGCGAGTAGGACAGCTCTCCATATACTTCGTATAGTCGAGCTAAAAATGAATGGAATTACGGAAAAGACACAAGCTTATCAAACTTCAATGAAAATTCACTGATGTAGGTCTTAATATCTATGCATATACATGTACACAGGATACCAAATAAGTTGAATTTATTTTCAATGGAATTAACAGAAAAAGCCAAATAAACGAAAAGACTTGCTTGATATTGTTATACTTATAAAAAAAAAAGCAATGGAATTAACAGAAAAAGCCAAATAAACGAAAAGACTTGCTTGATATTGTTATACTTATAAAAAAAAAGCTAGATTTTCTGTCAATCACAATCATAGTTTGCTCAGAAACATCAAAGAAATACACAATAAAGATAACCCTTTTTCAAATAAAATCATTTGAACATAATGCAATCAAGTTGCCAAATAATAGTTCAACTAACTAGACTTGCTAAAGAGACATCAATATAATTTTGGATGGGTGATGTCTTTTTGACAGTAGGGAAAAAAAGTTTGTAAAATGTGTCAAACTGTTCACGTCGAACTAAATTAGGCTAGTTGCCAAGTTATATGATAATTTTGAGCTATTACCTATGGTGGCTGATTTGTGCAATTCGTGTTTTCGCCCCGAGACACCCCAAGTGAAAAGTTGATAACTAGAAATGTGTCATCATGCCACGGATGCCCCCGCATGCAGCCAAAATTTCAGATGGTGCATTAATTTATTTTTTTTCATTTTAAGTTCAAAGCCCTTAAAACTTTTCAATGTTAACACAAACCATTTCCATACAACGTTCAAGGCACTGAAATTATTCAGTCTTAACCTTTAGAAAAAGCATATTGCATATTTGTAGCCAAAATAATGGCTAAAAGAATGAGTGCTGAAACTGAAAGTTCAAAATTTTTCCAACATTCAGGAAAGATAAGTTTGTCTAAAATCATTGAACCATGACCAAATTCAAACTTAAACTGCTTATTCCTAAGATGTATCTATATTATTTTCAAAGTGAAAGGGACATAACTCTGCCAAAAAAACATCAAACCATGACCAAATTCCAACTTGACCTGCCCATTCCTTTGACATATCCATATGTCAAATTAAAATTGAATATGTAACACTGTCATTTCATATCATTTTCAAAGTAAAAAGGGGCATAACTCTGCCAAAAATCATCGAACCATGACCAAATTCGAACATGACCTGTATTTTTTCATGACATATCCATAGGTCAAGTTTGAGTTGAATGTGTTGTACCGTTTGGGATATAATGAACAGAAACTGTAAATTTCATATTATTTTCAAAGTGAAAGGGGCATTACTCTGCCAAAAACCATTGAACCATGACCAAATTTGAACTTGACCTGGGCATTCCAAAAACATATCCATATGTCAAATTTGAGTTGAATGTGTTGTACCATTGGGGAGATAATAAACGGAAACTGAAAATTTCATATTACTTTCAAAGTGAAAGGGGCATAACTCTGCCAAAAATCATTGAACCATGACCAAATTTGAACTTGACCTGCGCATTCCATTGACGCATCCATATGTCACGTTTGAGTTGAATGTGTTGTACCTTGAGGGAGATAATGAACGGAAACTGAAAATTTCATATTATTTTCAAAGTAAAAGGGGCATAACTCTGCCAAAAATCATCGAACCACGACCAAATTTGAACTTGACCTGCGCATTCCTTTGACGCATCAATATGTCACGTTTGAGTTGAATGTGTTGTACCATTGGGGAGATAATGAACAGAAACTGAAAATTTCATATTATTTTCAAAGTAAAAGGGGCATAACTCTGCCAAAAATCATCGAACCATAACCAAATTCGAACTTGACCTGTATTTTTTCATAACATATCCATATGTCAAGTTTGAGTTGAATGTGTCCAACCGTTCTTGAGATAATGAACGGAAACTGAAATTTCATATTATTTTCAAAGTAAAAGGGGCATAACTCTGCCAAAAATCATCGAACCATGACCAAATTCGAACTTGACCTGTATTTTCTCATGACATATCCATATGTCAAATTTGAGTTGAATGTGCCCAACCGTTCTTAAGATAATGAACGGAAACTGATGATGACGGAATGACAGAATGACGGAAGGACGGAAGGACGGAAGGATGGAAGGACGGAAGGACGGAAGGACGGAAGGACGGAATGACGGAACAGGGTAACACTATATGCCCCGGCCATTACATGGCGGGGGCATAATTAACAAGTTAAAATGGCGGGGGCGCGGGCAAAAACTCGCTTATTAGCGAGGGAGCGGGGCGAAGTTTAAAAAATAAAATGACGGGGGTGCAGAGCGTAAACATGCTAATTAGCGCTCCCGCTTATTAGCGTGTTTTCGCTCTACGACCCCACCATTTAAACTTGTTTATTATCGACCCGCGACCCTGCTTATAAGCGTGTTTTTCGTTCCCAGACCCAGCAGTTTCATTTTAAATCTGAAGTTTTATTTACATACTGCCAATTCACTTATATTCGTGGGCATGAAATTTTGTGGTTTTATCGAAACGGGCATTTTTGTGGGTTCTTAAATTCATGGATTTTCAATTTCTTGTAAAAAAATAAAATAAGTAACCTAAGGCAAAGTAATCTTACACTTAATCGCAACGCATTTTACTTACAGCAATGCGCATGTACATATTTTTAAGTATCACACAGGGCTTGTCAATAAATTAAATCCTTGCCTCTGGGCATTCATTACACAAAAATTGGCGGAAAAGCGCCGATGCATGTTTGTAGTATATAGAATAGAGACATAGCAAGAAGTATTTGTTGAGGTAAAATTTTGTCGGATCTTAATTCGTGGTTTGACTTACCCACGAAAACCATGAAAATTTGTGCCCCGTGAATAATAATGATTTTACAGTAGTTACCTTTACATAATTACCTGCATTAAGGCCTATTACATTTGTTATAACTACATCTCCTTCACTTCCAGACTCTTTGGTCTGTTCTTCTACAGCCTGTTTATCATTCTGTTTTTGAAACATAGAAATGATGGTATTCCTTCTTTGATCATGTTGGTTTGATCCATTAGTCCTTTTCAGTGATAGCTTCCTCTTTTTAGATGCCTGGTTACTCATATTGTTTAATATTCCTTGAACATTTGAAAATAAAAATGATTTGTAAGAAACAGTTTAAAATCAAGAAACTGAAGCAATATAATATTCAAATGATTACATTATTTGTTTGGGGAAATATAAATAATTATCATCCCTCGGGTAACAGTATTTTACTGTAACCCACAAGCCTATGTGTTATTTATATACTGATATCCTCAATGTACTTAGATACATTATTTTTACTCATACTATCATGATAATTATCTGTCCAAGAAATTTGTTTGCTGTAAAATCTTTAAAAAGAAGAGGGCCATGATGGCCCTGAGTCGCTCACCAGAAACAACTGCTTTTTAATGTTGGAAATTATCCATTGTCAATATTTTCTGATATTAAATTATAGCCAATCAAATTAATATGAGCAAACTTGATAAAAGACTACCTAATAATGCTACAATATGCTATTTCAGTAGTAAGTGATGTTCAAAGGTTTTTCTATTTTTGGCTTTAGTGGCCCCTAAAAGGGGCCAATCAAATTAATATGAGCAAATTTGATAAAAGCGTATCTTTCGATAAATTCAAACGTGGCCCCAGCTTTGCCGTGTGCAAAATGCGCAGTGCTTTTAAGTTTGGGAACCAAATAATCGGATGGCTTCATTCATAGCCGACTGTCACGTTTGAATTTATCGAAAGATTTTGTCAATGGAGAAAAACGGTGATAATCTTGATGTTTATTTCGGCTGTTGCATTGTTTATATTACCGTTGAAGTTTAAAATTGACCATCGTCGTGAAGAATTATATCTTCTGTGTCGATGGACCAAAGGATTATGTGAAAATATTGGAAATGGAATAAAATACATGGTGATTATGACGGTAGGGGTGCGGATTTTTTCCAGCGAACATTTTTATCTTGTGTATTATTATAGATGTTGAAATATGAATTTTTTTCAAAACGGCTTATATTAAGTTTTTTCTGATACATATGATCAGTACATGTGCTGGGATTGACAAATATGCATTTTATTTGGATTTAAAAGGCGTTTTGAGCTCCAAACCCCCAAGTGTCTGTGTACAGAATAGTTGTTTGGCGACAACATTAATCCATGCTTTTGTCTAAGCAATCTGTGAAAAATAATGTCATTCAATTATTCTAATCATTGAACTGTCATAAAATATTGTTGGTTTTATTTTGGTATAACACCTAAGCAGTTTAGTGAAATGATACAGACGGCTGAGTTCAATCCAGCTGCATCATTGATTTTCAGTCACTTATCATCTGCACCAGCTGTGTTCGTTGACAAGGTTAAATATATTAGATGTGAAGCGTCTCTGAAATGAACTTGAAAACTGCGAACTTGATCTGGCAAAATTGTTTTCGATTGTCCTGTAATTTTCAAAAACATCAATCTGCCAATCTGTATTTCACAGTTACAAATGGCGTACCTAGCAAAAGGGACGTAACTATGTTGGACAGAAGAGTTAGGCGTTAGTTTGGCCAAAATTCAAATAAATAGCGTAAAGAATTTAAAGAACCAAAAAGGACATAAGTCAAATTTAATAAAATTATATGGATTAATCATAACTATCATTAAAATGAAAAAATGTTCAGTTTGAAATGGTAAGAGGCATTTGTACGGTGGCACAAAGATGATATTTGAGCGTTTTGCCCACGATACATATTATCTCGTGCACATGAGATAAGTAAAAACGGACAAATGTCACATATATCTGTGTCACCGTAGATGCCCCTTCTATAAATTTAGAACGTATGTACAGCATGGATGCGTCATGACTGTTTTTCAAATTTGAGATATGAAATAAAAAAAGAAGTTCCTTAATTCTAATATCATTACCTAATTAAAATGGTGACCTGATGCAATGAGCAGTGATTGAGTGATTGAGTGAGTGAGTGTTTGAGTGTGTGAGTGTGTGAGTGAGTGAGTGTGTGAGTGAGTGAGTGAGTGAGTGAGTGAGTGAGTGAGTGAGTGAGTGAGTGAGTGAGTGAGTGAGTGAGTGAGTGAGTGAGTGAGTGAGTGAGTGAGTGAGTGAGTGAGTGAGTGAGTGAGTGAGTGAGTGAGTGAGTGAGTGAGTGAGTGAGTGAGTGAGTGAGTGAGTGAGTGAGTGAGTGAGTGAGTGAGTGAGTGAGTGAGTGAGTGAGTGAGTGAGTGAGTGAGTGAGTGAGTGAGTGAGTGAGTGAGTGAGTGAGTGAGTGAGTAAGTGAGTGAATGAGTGAGCAAAAATAGTATGTAAGCAAGAAAATTAGTTAACTTCTAAGAAAGTAAGTCAAGATAGCAAGTTATAGTCAGTTAGGAAGTTAGTTAAGAGGTTTGACAGTAAGCATGTTAGTTAGTTAGTACTTAAGCAATTTTATTATTTTAACTATTGAATTCTTTTGATTTTATTTTTCCAAACCAGTTTTTGTAACACTAAATCAGTACTTCAATATGGATATAACTGAAAATAGTCAGTGCTTAAAAGTCAGAATTTATGCATGGAATTAAATCAGTTCTTACAAAAAAGACTAACTATCAATGATGAGTAAAATGAGTATTACTATTTGAACAGTGTATTGTTCTGCATTATGTGGATGCTACCTTGAAGGTTTATTATTGAATAAGTGTGTAAATTTATCACACCAGTGTGGATTGTGGAATTTGAAAGAGAATATACATTGTATAATTATCCTACCACTAAAATAGAACGGAACCCACAACCGTCTAATTATAATCGTGATGCTCTTGACAACCATATACCAATCTTTTCTTTTTTAGTACGGTACACGTACAGTATATAAAAGTATGTATACAAACATAGTCATTTAGAAAACATGAGATAAAACTATGCAAAATACAGTTTACTGTAAATCTTACAGGTAGTTATTAGTTCTAACCTTCAGTTCAATAAAGTTCTAACCTGCAAAAATACTTAACAATTATATGATAATAATTATCATATATGAAGATACAGAAGATATAGACGCAGTGACATTGTGCTTGCTTTTGAAGTAATCTTGGCAATTTCTGAACATACAAAAGATTTAACATGTCCAAAATATCGTAATAAATATAGGTACAGTTCTAGACGGGCCTTCATCGAAAAAATACGGACATTTCTGACCATGGACATTTCGGAAACAATAATATCCATGGAAGTTGATCATATCATAATAAATTGTCTGCAAACGTGTGTCATTAAAACATTGCTAGTTTGTTTTTTTAATTTTCTTTATTTATAGTGCAAAATATATAAAATCTAAATCGGGATAGGTTTAAAATCTTCCCATGGTGTCTTATATATTCTAAAGTTAAACTTTAGTTTTTTTTTGTAACCGAAATGTCTGGTCCGAAACGTCCATGGTCCGAAATGTCCTATTACCTCATCGAACACTTGCTGTTCTTTTCGTTTTTATCACATGTTGCGGACTTTTATGTTTCTTTGGGTTAAATACTAGCCGGTAATTGCATGCATTTCCGGGTGATGCAAACGTGAATCAACTCTATGTTTATGTTTAAATAAATAGAAAAAGAACATAATAACAAGTGTTTTCACAATAAGTATTGTAATAGCTAGTCAACAAAATCTTTTTTAAGGTGAGTTTAATTCAATAATTACAGAGTTGTGAGATCTCATTATCATCCATATGTCACAAGCGCTGCACTGGCACAAGACTCCAGTCATTAACCAGTTAACAGCTTGAATATACTATCATATATACGAGTATATTTGAAAATTATAATTTTTTATATGTTTTGGGCAGTTTCTGTTGTATGTGTATTACCTGAATTATTTTATTATAATAATATGAAAAAGGCAAAGCCTCAAAGCGAGCTCGATTGCCATTTTATACACTGCTTCTGTTTATTCTAGTCCCCCCTTTATATTATGGCCCCTAAATAAATGCGCAGGACACCAGTGTACGCTTTCGTTTTCAACCAGAGACAGAGTACATGGGCTTTTATCGTTATCTTGCAATTCGAAAATTTGCGATGTGTCATTTCGGTACTTCGGACGAAAGTTTTCAAAACCATCACTATTAAGCAGGTTACTGTGTTACCATAAAGCTCGCTTTGCGAGCAGGCCCTTCAGGCCAGCTCGTCGAGCTTGCTAGAAGACTCTGATCGAGGGTTCTCAGTGATGCTTATTTCGGTGTCCTTGGTAGGCATGTTTATAATGGCTGGACGCATATATTTAAAAGCAAGGATTCTGCGTATACTCAGGGTTCTCGGGGACGCTTATTTCAGCGTTCCGGTATGCATGTTTATTACAGCTGGACGCAAATATTTCAGAGCAAGGATTCCGCGTACGCTCAATTTTACCTGGCGATGCATAAACATTACCGATTGTTTACAACCACAAATACATCACAGACTTCCCGAAAGTTAAAAAAAACTGTCAGACATTCGGTCTGACAAACCACGAAAATCTGTCGGACCGTAACGAAATCCGTCAGACCAAATAAAATTGATCAAAATGAAAGAAAAACTTGTGTTTGTATTTCTAAGACACTTTTTGTTTTTAATTTTTTCGCCGTAAAAATCGGCACATTCCGTACAGTGCATTTTCATCTCCTCCCTGTTATACACCAACGATTCATGGTCCTGCTTCTATTTTTCATTAAATTTTGTCTCAGGTCTATTCTTTTCATCCTTTTATTGCTGTTCTGCGCGCTCCTCTGACGTAGATTTTTGTTTTTCCCAGGATTGGCAGCTTTAACGACGCCATTTTGTATACATGCGGCTTGGATAAAAGCCGGACATTCGGACCGATCCGGAATAAAAAATCGTCGGACCTGATCAAAATTTATCGGACATGTCCGTCGGACCGACGTATTTCGGGAAGTCTGCATCAGCGCGTGTCAGTCTATAGGTAGGCGATCCTATGCTCATTGACCAGTGAAGCGATTAGCCAATCAGTGTTTATGCTTTCGATCATTATCACGCAATAGAGATCAGACTAATGTATACACGCCCTGCACATGTAATTACCAGATATAACACAAGGTGATAATTTTTTATCTTTGATCAACGGTTTATTGGAAATTAGCAAATTTTACCGACAAAAGGATTAACTATTGACACCGCAAGTTTAAAGACTGTTTCTCAAATTACAAATGAGTGTAATTTTGAATAATTGTCGAATATTTTCGGCATTTTCTAGGCAAATTTTTGCCTCAGTTTCATTCTTGCAAAAACGAGTATTAAGAATTTAAGATATTGTGCCAAAATGCCAGGACAACAAACCGAAATACACATAGCTTTTCTTTGATATTTAGATTCTATCCGAAAATTGATCCCGAACATCGGCGATTTCACGTTCGCCAGAAACCCAAAAATTTCGCAAGGGGCGCAAAAATTCTCAGTTTCCAAGCAAAACATGTGAATGAATTGTTCCTTTGTTACTTAATCAACATTAAATCTTTAAATATCGATCTTCAATTTGCCCCCTTTTGAAGATATTTGCTAAAATAATTGTTGATCAGATGAATCACTTACTGTGTGAAGCTGTAAACGATTTTCCTATCCATTCTGCTAAACGCTGCCTATATACATTTACGTTTTTTTTGTGTTTTTTACAAATATAATCTTTTGATTTTTAGAGTGGACTTATTTAACCAAAATAAAATTTGATTTGGTATAAAAATGAAAAAAAAAAACAAACAAAAAACAATTCCAAGTGTTGATGCATTATAATTTTATTGGTTTCAAAATTAATATTAACAACAAAACAATAATTATACTATGTAGTTCAGAGTTTGTTTTGAATAACTATAAACTTTGAAAGTCTCTTGAAGATTAAAAAATATAAGCAATGCTATTGTGAACATTAAATGACTAAATCTGTAAACATATTAATTGCGACATGCTTTTTGACTCCATCTTTTTCAGGCTTGGGAGTCCATGGACTCCATGTTTTAAAGTCCTAGTGATTACCCTGATATGGTAATATTTAAAACAGACTGCAAAACATTTAATATATAGGTAAAAAAAATCCATGTATGAAAAAACTTGTGCTCTACAGCTTAGTACACACTTGTTTTATAAAATGTTGAATTTACATCAATTGGTAATGTACTGTTCATGGTTGTAGCCTACAAATAGCCTATTATTTCTGACTTAACACTATTATATGAATATTTATTTAAATATCGTATAGTAAATAATTTGGGGGTTGGTGCAATATGGTTGTAACTGATGTGCCTTAAATAAGGAGTTACACTGTACATTTTGAACTTTTTTGAAACATTCTTCTTATTTTGAAAGGGGGAAAATGGAAAACTTATACCCCCAAATTTTGTATTATTTTGGAAAAAAAATTTAAATACTTTTTGTAGTTTTTGGTTTATTCTTGTAGAATTTACAAAAAAAATTTTTAAATTGGGGGGAGATGGCTGGGGCCGGGGCATTCTTTTAAAGACTCGGGGGAAGGATTATCAATTTCATCACAAAAAACCCTCCTGAAAGTAAAAAGCATTTTGACTTGTATGACTTTTTTAAAATTTAAAAAACGACCAGTCAATTTATACTGTCAGGCTAAACAGTAACCATGCTTATTTGTAAAATTTTTATATAAAAAACAAAAAAATTTACAAAAAAATTAAAAATTTAAAATTTCGGGTTTTTTAAAATTTTTGGAACAGTCCTTTTTAAATTAGGGGTTTTTCTTGTCAAAATTTTTATATCCAGCCAAATAATGTTTTTGTTTATTCGATTTATTTGATTTTTAAAGTCAAAACTGAAATTTTTTAGAAAATAATGAAAAATTTCCCTTAGCTTTACTGATGGAGGAAGACTTTGAGGTACCCCTCCATGCATTTATTTTCGTCAAAGCTTGGGTAATCTGAGTTTACCACTGTTCACTTTACTGGGACCTTTTCTGGGTAAGCTAGGCTTTGATATCTTCTTCAAATGAAAGAATTAATAGTCCCTTTTGGCAGGATTCAAAACCTAAAGTAGTGAAGGGCAAAGTGGATTTGGGGAATTAGGGAAACTGTTAACAACATTTCCATTTTTTGCCAATGAGACCCTGCCAATAAGGGAACAGGGCAAGGCTTTTGGTATGGGGGGCTATAGATTATATAAAAACTGGCCCCTGGCTGTTTTTACCGATTTTTCCTGCTGTTAAATTTAAGTCCTTAGCAAGAGCCACCATTGTGGTTAATGGAAATGGTTAAATGTATAATATTAAATGCTTTATTTTACCAGGAACCACTAGGAGAGGGATAGAGTCAAGGTTGTCCTTAAAAGAGGAGATTTGAAAAGTATTACTGGGGAACAGCTACCACTGGTAAACCTCATGTCGGTTATTTTGTTCCCATGTGTAAAATATCTGACTTCCTTAGAGCTGGTTGTGAGGTAAAGTACATTCTTGAAAGTAGGATTTTCTTCCCTATATTCTTGGGGAAAAAAGATTTTTACTGAAAATGGAACTGTTAGACTACATAATATGAAATTAAAATAATAGTAAAAGATAGCTATAACCATATGTAAGTTCATGAATTTGACTAAGAGGCCTGATTTTTTTTTATTTCATAAGGTTCTTTTACCAGTTCTGAAAATTTTTAATTTTAATTGAAATTATAAAATGTAACTGTTTTTAGCTCACCTGTCACAAAGTGTCAGGGTGAGCTTTTGTGATCGCTTTTCGTCCGGCGCCCGGGTCCGCCCGGCCCGTCCGTCGTAAAATTTTTTATTTTAAATGACATTTTATAAAAACTAAGGCCAATTTCATCCAAACTTTCAAGGAAAATGTTCCTTTGGGTGGGTCACCTTTTAAAAATTGTTCCCAAATAGAATTTTAATTTTCCATTGCTAGGAATTGGGTTTCCATTGGGGGAACCGGGGAAAGAAAAACCTTTTTAAATATCTTCTTTTTTAAAAAAAACCATAAAAGAGCTAGAGCTTAAATATTTTGAGCATTAAACATCTTCTGTGAGTTGTCTACCAAAATTTGTTCAATAAAAGCCCTGGGGTCAATTTGATTTTCCCTATTATGATATAGTAAAAATTTAAAAAAATCTTTTTTTTAAAGAACCCAAAGAAGCTAGACCCTAAAGAATTTTTAGCAATGGAACATGTTCTAATGGGTGTCTACCCAAGTTTTGTTCAAATAAAAGGGGCCCTGGGGGGTCCAATTTTTGGCCCCGCCCCAGGTTGTCATTTGGGATTTTTCCTTTATATCAATAGTTAAAAACTTAAAAAATCTTCTTTTAAAGAACCCAACGAGCTAGAGCTAAGCTTTTTAGCATGAAACATGTTTTTAATGGGTGTCTACCAGTTTGGTTCAAATAAAAGCCCTGGGGGTCAAAATTGGGCCCCGCCCCGGGGGGGGTCATTGATTTCCCCTATATGCATATAGTAAAAACTTAAAAAATCCTCTTTTTAAAGAACTCAAAGAGCTATGGCTAAGATATTGAGCATCAAACATGTTCTAATAGGTGTCTACCAAAGGTTTGTTCAAATAAAAGCCCTGGGGTCAAAATTGGCCCCGCCCCAGGGGGGGGTCATTGATTTTCCTATATGCATATAGTAAAAACTTAAAAAAAGTCTTCTTTCAAAGAACCAAAAGAGTTAGAGGTAAGATATTTAGCATGAAACATGTTCTAATAAGTGTCTACCAAGTTTGTTCAAAAAAAGCCCTGGGTTCAAAATTGCCCTGCCCCGGGGGGTCATTGATTTTCCCTATATGCATATAGTAAAAACTTAAAAAATCTTCTTTTAAAAGAACTCAAAGAGCTATGGCTAAGATATTTGCATTCAACATGTTCTAATAGGTGTTTACCAAGTTTGTTCAAATAAAAAGCCCTGGGTTCAAAATTGGCCCCGCCCCGGGGTTTCATTGATTTTCCTTATATGTGTATAGCAAAAACTTAAAAATCTTCTTTGAAAAACCCAAATAGCTAGAGTTAAGATATTAAGCATGAAACATCTTTTAGTGAGTGTCTTACAAAGTTTGTTCAAAATAAAAGACCTGGGGTCAAAATTGGCCCCTGCCCCGGGGGTCATTGATTTTCTTTATATGTGTATAGCAAAAACTTTAAATCTTCTTTTGAAAAAAACCCAAATAGCTAGAGTTTAGAGTTTAGATACTTAAGCATGAAACATCTTCTAGTAAGTGTCTACAAAGTTTTGTTCAAAAAAGCCCTGGGGTCAAAAACTGGCCCCTGCCCCCAGAGGTGTCATTGTTTTTAAACTATATGTGTATAGTAATAACTTAAAAAAAATCTTCATTTAAAAAGCCCAATGAGCTAGAGCTTAGATGTTTAGCATGAAACATCTTCTTTTATGGGTGTCTACCAAGTTTGTGCAAATAAAAGCTCTTGGGTTAAATTGGCCCTGCAACGTTGGGGGGGGGGGGGGGGGGGGTGGGGGGTGGGGGCCTATATACAGGTGAGCGGGACCTCAGGGCCATCATGGCCTCTTGTTGTTAAAAAATACCCTTAAAAATCCAACAAAATTGTGAACTCAGAAGTATTTGGGATTTCCAATATTAATGAAATATCTCAAAGATTACTAATAATTTGATTATTAATGTCTGTGTACTACATATATAAAGCTGATAGTATTATTTTCTAAAGTTTAAAAGTGGGGCATCTTTTTAAATTAATAGAATTTACTATAATGATATTTCTGACATAAAACGAATAGTTTCATTACTTTAACATTACACATGATTTTAGGTGACTATACTCTTTGCGGATCTCCATGCCTACCTAGACAATATGAAGGCACCATGGGAGTTGCTACAACTTCGTGTACAGTACTATGAACATGTGATCAAAGCTATGCTCAAATCTATAGGTGTGCCACTAGAAAAACTGAAGTTTGTCCAAGGAACTGACTTCCAGTTGAGTAGGTAAGAAATATTATATGATTTTTGATTTAGCTACATTGGTTTAAAGTCTTAACTTGCTGTGCTGACTACATTTATATAAATGGCACTTACACAAAATCAGCTGCTAAATGTCATTAATTTGTTTTTTATTGTTGAAGAAATGTATTTCAAAATGACTTATTTTGTCTGACCACCAATTTTGAACTAAGAACTGACTTAATCAAACTTCCCTATAAAACATTTTATTGTTGTTGAGCTTAAAATTCACAGAGTTTTGAGAAAGCTGTTATTGCCGTTTTTAGAGAGAAAAAAACACTTATAATTATGACTTGGCAAGGGAGTGCGGCTGTATCAAACAAGGGAGATAATCTACCTCAAAGTACCTGTTGGTGTTTACAAGTTAACCTGTTGTAATAATTTTTTTGTATATAATTACAGGGAATACACGCTGGATGTGTACAAATTGTCGTCATTGGTTACAGAACATGATGCAAAGAAAGCTGGAGCGGAAGTTGTTAAACAAGTGGACCATCCTTTGTTAAGTGGACTGCTGTACCCTGGTTTACAGGTACATATACATTTTGCAGGAATTTTTTTGGCTTATTTTATAGCCATTATTGGGTCATATTCCCAATTGAAAATAGCATATTATTTTCCCAATCCACAGGAAAAAATTCTCAATTGAAAGTTACAAAATAAAAATATTGAATAAAAATTCTAAAATCTTTGCAAAAAAGGGCTTTCTTACTGTAATAGTGCTTTAATATTTGAAGATGCCATCATAGACAGTAATTGTTTGCATCCATTTAATCACTGCAAAATTTCAGTCATGCATTTTTTCCCAATTTTTAACAAAACACCGCTGAAATTCCGAATTCCATGGGTATGGGTTGTGTTCCCAAAATCCTGGAAAAAAACCCTGTTTTGTGTTGCAAAATTAAAATTCACTGGCTGGACCTCATGGTCCTGTCATCTGTGGTAACTCTGTGTTGCTATATATTTATGGGTTATTAGTTTTTTCCCCTACCCTTAACATTCTTGATTCGTAAGGGGTTAGACTTTAGCATCAGCTAGTTTAAAGCCAGGTAATCCTGCATGTTTATGCATATCAGACATGATTATCTACCGTTTATGCCAGTGTAAAAAAACCTGTCTTAAGACAAGCTACATGCTTTAAATGATGTCATTCCCTTTTATGAATGAATTGCATTTAACTCCATGAGTATAAACCTGATTAAGATAAGAAAACATTTTAAATTTTGTAAATGAAATTGTTAGGAAATGAAATCTTACACAGGTGTTTATATTTTAGGCTTTAGATGAAGAATACCTGAAAGTTGATGCTCAATTTGGTGGGGTAGATCAGAGAAAAATCTTCACATTTGCAGAAAAAGTAAGTAATATCAATTAATAAAATACTGGCAGGAAAATTGTCAACTTCTTCAATAGACAATCTTGTTCAGGGTGTTTGATGCATGTGGAGGCATTGATTTCCCTACACAAAAAAGACCTGTTTGATACATTTGATAACTATTGTACTGTTAAATTTTGTTGAAAAATATATTTATTTACTGCATTTTTTTAAGTTGTCTGGTTGAGCTATCTTGATTGTTGCATGATCGTCTAGTGCAATAATTTAAACGTTGCTAATTATTCAAAGTTTTTAAAGTTAAAATTTTGAAAGTTTCAATATGAATCTTTGAAAACATGCTTATAATGACAAGAAACAATTGTAAGACAAGGGGCATACAATCTGAAAGTTATATTATTGAAGTAAGACCAGGCTTCGCGAAACTGCTGAAAAATTTGCCTGACATTCGGTCAGACAAACTTTCAATTCTTGTCTGACCGAAAGAACTTTTGTCTGACCGAATTTTTTCCCCCAAATATATGTATATGGTAATACCTTGGTGGTTTTTTTTAAAGACATAACACTTTCAAAGATTTGCAAGACAATTTTATTCCCTTAAATAAAACATTAGTTTATCCAGATTGATGGACTCACAGGCGCTAGTCACATATATTCAAATATTTTACATAACCAGTCTATATATGTATATAAAGATATATAGTATATAGCCCATATAAAACTTTAAAAAGTTTGTTTCAAGCACCTGTGGATGGACTCTGTTTGGAAATCAAAACATTCATGATCAAAGCGGCCATTTTTCCATTTACCCACAAATTTTCTCGGCGGGCGCCTGGACTCGTATTCCTTTTGTTTCGCTTTTTTTCTTCATTGGAAAGTTTACGATTTTTGCCGGGCGTAGCGCCAGCGTAATAATGTAGTAACATCGACATTTTGGTTATTGACAGTCGTATGTATCGGACACTTATAATGAAACGGCGAATCAAAACTCGTTTTACATTTTTTTATTCAAGGGAGAAAACTCGGTCTTGATCGGTCTTGGATATATCCCGGTATTCGTACCGGACATAAGGTCCGGAACTCCGAAAAAAAATATCGGACCGGCCTGATTTTTGCCGGACATGTCCGACGGTCCGGCAACTTTCGCGAAGCCTGTAAGACCCGTTTTTAACTAACAGATTTTAAAGGACGAGCTTTGACAATGCATTCTGTGCTCTTGTATTGTTATTACATGAGCAGCTAATATTTTACCATGATATTGTGTCACTATACCAAAAAGAAGTAAAATATCTGTAATTGCAGAATAAAAATGATAAATTCACATGCAGTGTTGCTTCATATTGTGAAAATTTCAACTATGCATTTTTTTGTGCCAAAAAAGGGAAAGAAATAAGATATTTAAATGTTAGAGTAAAATTGTGCCCCCAAAAATTTATTTAAAAGTTTTTAAGCAGCACAATGTTGTGTTTCATCTTTTACAGTACATGCCACAGCTTGGATACACTAAAAGAGCTCATTTTATGAATCCTATGGGTAAGCAATAATGTTTTTAGTATTGTCACAAATGTTAAAAGGAATTAAGAAAATATATAGTTTTAAATTTTCCTATTCTCAAAACTATAAGTTAAACAGATAATTTCACATTGACAGCCAGTATTCAAAATTTAAGACAATTTTATCCATTTTTCTTGACTTAATTGCATCACTGCGGCAGGTTTAGATACCTGAAATATGTCATGTTTGTTACCAGTTTACTTACAAAAAATGTTGAGTCGCACCATTCTTTATGGTATGGTTTACAAGTTATAAAAGTAACTTTACCATACTTTCCAGCAAGCTTATGGAAAGTCTGTGGTTATACACAGGTGCTTGCTCATGCCTGAAATAATGCATATATTGGCAGATGAGGTCTTCCTCTACCAGTGAATCTGGAAAAATCACCATATATGACTTAAAACTTATTGAAACAAACCATGCCTAATGTATAACTGTACATCACTCGGTTATGTTCTCTTACACCATCAATCATTTCTTTAAAATATTTCAGCAAGTTTGAAGATTTTTTTTTATCATTTCAGTTCCTGGATTGACTGGGGGAAAGATGAGCTCTTCAGAAGAAGATTCTAAAATAGATCTTCTAGATTCAGAGGCTCAGGTGAAGAAGAAGTTAAAGAAGGCATTCTGTGAACCAGGAAATACAGCTGAAAATGGAGTCTTAGCTTTCTGTAAATCTGTACTCTTCCCTCTATCGAAAACTGGGGGTAGGTATTATTGTCTATTGTTGATTTTTATAAAAATTCAATGAGCTAAGTTGGTGGTAGAAGGGGGGGGGGTTAATTTATGTTTGGTAAACAAATATTAGATACATTAGCTTGTGTCTAAAATGTGCAAGGAGCATGATTTTTGTGACTTAATGAGTATGTGTTTGAAATTTTTTTAAGCTCTAATCTTTTCCTACTGTTATTGGAAAAGTTAATTTGTATTGCTTAAAAACATCAGTAAGTAATAAAGACATCAATACTTCTGTTGTAAACATTGTATTGTTCTTTTTTCATAGTCATTTTGGGACACAAAAACACAGGTATGATTTCGTGTATTTGAATGTTGTCAACGGGACATGCTTTTATTTGTACTGAAAAAACATGTCTTAGTACTGTGACAGTGACTTTTGCAATTTGAGCCGCGTCACGAGAAAACCAACATAATGGGTTTGCGACCAGCATGGATCCAGACCAGCCTGCGCATCCGCGCAGTCTGATCAGGATCCATGCTGTTCGCTTACCAACCCTATTACAAGTAGAGAAACTGATAGCGAACAGCATGGATCCTGATCAGACTGCGCGGATGCGCAGGCTGGTCTGGATCCATGCTGTTCGCAAACGCACTCTGTTGGTTTTGTCGTGACGCGGCTCATTTGTTGATTACTTCATATAGTTACTAGTGCTTGTAATATCTTTTTAGAGTTTAAAATTGAAAGAGCAGAAGAAAATGGAGGAAATCTACTTTACACCAAATATGAGGACCTGGAAAAAGCCTTTGCTAGTCAGGTAATTGGACATTTTTTGCCTTTATCCTTTTAATAAGTCTGTGATTGCATACTGTCACAATCCATCCATCCATTCTATCAAAAGTTCAAAAAAAGAGAAAGCATATCCTTGATACTATTTAATTGTAAGGCACAGCACCACATGCCATGTAGTTTATTAAAGGAACTCCACTGAGGTCCAAAAACCTAAAAACATAAAATTTTAATTTCTTACATAGATCAGCTAGGACAATTGAAACAGAAAGATATACAAAGGATAATTAAGAAATATACCCAGAAATGAATTAACAATCATAATTTTGTGCAATGCTTTAATTTTAAGTTTATCTACTCCTGAAAGCTCTCTTTTCCTATATAAAACGACTAGAAAATAATACTAAATTCAATGTTTTCAAGCTTTCTGATATTTTTAACTTGTATCCATTGCTCATACATGATTCTTTACAGACTTTCGAAGAATAATTATATTTATTGTGATTTAAAATTCTTTATTTTACAATAAAAATATCCAATATTAATGCACTGATAGCTTAACAGTACTGTATCTGATGATTATAAATATAATAGATAATTATAGCATTAAAGGTTGTTTCTACATTTCTTATGGACTTGTGGGGTCAGCTTTGAGCCATTCATATTAGGCCATATAACCTGTGGAAAATCTTCAAAAGTAGTTGATGATATATATATTTTTTTTTCTACATTCATTAAGGAATTACATCCAGCAGATCTGAAGGGAGCTGTAGAGGTGTACCTAAATACTTTACTTGAACCCATCAGGCAGGAGTTCAGCACACCTGAACTGAAAAAACTCACCTCATCAGCTTATCCTGTACAAAAGAAAAGTAAGTCACTTTTAACAATATTCTTCTCAGCAATATTGAATTTAATGTATTGTATAAGTACTTTGTTGCTAGCTTTTCTTAAATTTTCCGTCAGTGGTTCTTGTCAAATGTCTGTTTGTGCCAGGAGGAGCAACTGAGGTCTTCCTACACCAGGACACCATTTGACATGTACTGTGTTGGATCTATGTAAAACCCATCGAGTTTGGCTTAATAAAGTAGTTATTATATTCCATTGCTGTAGTCATGACTACACTACCAACTGGAATAAAGTCAGTGTATTCAAATATGATCAAGAAAACTGTAGCAAATATAATGATTATGTTAATATATTAGTGTTTTATACATGTATACAAGCATCAAGTAGATATGTAATGAAATAATTTGATTAATTTAAAGGTTTCTGTAAGCTAGGGCTGTCATTGATGGAAAATTTCGTATTGACATATCAAGAGACAAATATCAATGATATATCGATATATCAATTTTGACAGTAGATTCAATGAAAAACATTTAAATATGTGTTATAAATTGGAATCATAGTGTATGTATGTTTGTATTTACAATAGACATTATGAATACTACAAACTAACCAAAGTGTTTTTCTGTTATTTTTGTCACTGAACTGTTGAAAACAGACTTTAAAGTTCAAGTTAGCCATGAAAACTAGAAAAAAGTGTCTTCACTTTAGTAGGCTAATTAGAGTGGTATATTCCCTTTAAAAAAATAAAGATTTTTAGCTTAATTGTATCAATATTTAAAAGTGTGTATCAATATTGTATCGGAGGATGAATATCAATGATATATCGATATTGCAATATTCAATGACAGCCCTACTGTAATCATGGTAAGAGCCTTAACTCCACAGTAATGATTCTGATAAAAGTTAAAATATAATTGCAATTGTTACTAATAGGCTAGAAAATATATATCTTAATCAAAGATGTATTTTACAGAGGGAGGTAAGCCTGCTGCAGCGGGTGCCAATGCAGATGCTGAATTGTCTCCCTCTAGATTAGATTTTCGAGTAGGGAAAATATTGAAAGTTGAAAAGGTAAGAATTTATATTTTGATAGTATTTGATATTTATATATACATGTAACTCTCTGACTCAAAGAACATTATGCTACTGCAACTGTATTTTGATTGTTATCCTGAATTCCAGTTTCCTTGAATAAAGTTTTGGTAAAGTGCCTACTGTAAAAGCCCATATATATTAAGAATTGAAATTTCTAAGAACATTGCATAAAATTGTAAATCAAGTTAAGCATTTATAGTCAGCAATATCAATGAACAACTTTGATGGAAGTAATGTGTATTGAGCTGGGGATTTTATTGAGTATAGTTGTTCATGCTGTATATTGGAAGGGTACAACTTCTTTTTTTAGCTCACCAGAGCCGAAGGCTCAAGGTGAGCTATTAGTATCAAAGGGGGATGCTCCGGCGTCATGCGTCAACAATGGTCTTCTTCTCTGAAACTACTGGACAGATTTACTTCAAATTTGGTCTGTAGCATCCTTGTGACAGTCACACTTGAATTTGCTCATGTCATTCCAATTGGCCGCTTTTAGGGGTCAGCAGAGCTAAAAATAGAAAAACCTTTAAACATCCTCTTCTACAGAACTAATGGATGGATGATCACCAAACTTTGTCTGTAGCATTCTTGAGTAGTCTTTTATCAAGTTTGCTCATATTAATGATTGTCCCCTTTAAGGGGCCACTACAGCTTAAAATAAAAAAACCTTTAAACATCTTCTCCTACAGAACTAATGGATGGATGATCACCAAACTTTGTCTGTAGCATTCTTAGGTAGTCTTTTATCAAGTTTGCTCATATGAATTTGATTGGCCCCTTTTAGGGGTCTCTAGGACTAAAAATAGAAAAACCTTTAAACATCTTCTCCTAAAGAACAAATTCAGGGATGATCACCAAACTTTGTCTGTAGCATTCTTTGGTAGTGTTTTATCAAGTTTGCTCATATTATTTTGATTGGCCCCTTTTAGGGGTCTCTAGGACTAAAAATAGAAAAACCTTTAAACATCTTCTTCTACAGAACTAATGGATGGATGATCACCAAACTTTGTCTGTAGCATTCTTGGGTACTCTTTTATCAAGTTTGCTCATACTAATTTGATTGGCCCCTTTTAGGGCCCGCTAAAGCTAAAAATAGAAATACTGTTAAGTGTCTATTTCTACAGAACTAATTGATGGATGATCACCAAACTTTGTCTGTAGCATTCTTGGGTAGTCTTTTATCAAGTTTGCTAATTTTATTTTGATACCCCCCTTTTAGGGGTCTCTAGGGCTAAAAATAGAAAAAACTTTAAACATCTTCTGCAATAGAACTAATTGATGGAAGATCACCAAACTTTGTTGGTAGCTTTCTCGGGTAGTGTTTTATCAAGTTTGCTCATATTAATTTGATTGGCCCCTTTTAGGGGCCGCAAAAGCTAAAAATAGAAATACCTTTAAATGTCTATTTCTAGAGAACTAATTGATGGATGATCACCAAACTTTGTCTGTAGCATTCTTAGGTAGTCTTTTTTCAAGTTTGCTAATATTATTTTGATTGGCCGCTTTAAGGGGTCTCTAGGGCTAAAAATAGAAATACCTTTAAATGTCTATTTCTACAGAACTAATTGATGGAAGATCACCAAACTTTGTCTGTAGCATTCTTGGATAGTCTTTTATCAAGTTTGCTCATATTCATTTGATTTGCCCCTTGTAGGGGTCTCTTTAGCTAAAAATAGAAATACCGTTTAATGTCTATTTCTAGAGAACAAATTAATGGATGATACCAAACTTTGTCTGCAGCATTCTTGGGTAGTCTTTTATCAAGTTTGCTCATATGAATTTGATTGGCCCCTTTTAGGGGCTGCTTAAACTAAAAATAGAAATACCTTTAAATGTCTATTTCTACAGAACTAATTGATGGATGGTCACCAAACTTTGTCTGAAGCATTGTTGGGTAGTCTTTTATCAAGTTTGCTCATATGAATTTGATTGGCCCCTTTTAGGGGCCGCTAAAGTTAAAAATAGAAAAACCTTTAAACATCTTTTCCTACAGAAGTAATGAATAGATGATCACCAAACTTTGTCTGTAGCATTCTTGGGTACTCTTTTATCAAGTTTGCTCTTATTAATTTGATTAGCCTCTTTTAGGGGCCACTAAAGCTAAAAATAGAAAAACAGAAAAAACCTTTGAACATCATTTCCTACTGAAATAATTGATAAATGATCACCAAACTTTGTAGCATTCTTAAGTAGTCTTTTATCAAGTTTGCTCATATTAATTTGATTAGCCCCGTTTAAGGTAAAGCTTAAATATCCCAGGTCATGGCATTTCCTCAAATTATTGTTTATTCTATGCTCAAATTTAATATTAGAATATATTGACATTCTAACACTGAAAAGCAGTTGTTTCTGGTGAGCGACTCAGGGCCATCATGGCCCTCTTGTATTTAAATGTTTTTTTTTTCTATTTTAGCATCCTGATGCTGATTCCCTGTTTGTAGAGACTGTAGATTTGGGTGAACCAGAAACCAGGACTGTTGTGAGTGGACTGGTTGGCCTATATCCTGAGGAAAAACTACAAGATAGACTGGGTGTCTTCTTGTGCAACCTTAAACCAAACAAAATGAGGGGTGTGACCTCAAGTGCAATGTTGATGTGTGCCTCTGTGTAAGATTCATTTCACTTTGATTTACTTTTTCTCCCACAACTAGATGAATGAAAATGAGATATTTTGCCTATTATTTGCATCTCTTTAATTTTAAAAGGCAAAATTTGAATGCATTTATTTAGTGTACAGAATGTTACAAGATTTAAAATGCAGCAACTAATTAGCTGTATTCCTGCTTTAAGTGAAAAATGTTTACAAATTCACCTTCTGGGTAGCCATGTGCATTTACGAAAATGGATAGCTTTATCAATGCAGTTATACCTTTTAAAGTGGTATTAATTTGTTTGTTAATTGCAGTTATTCATAATTTGATTAATATTTCTCCTTCCTGTTTTACCATGTGGGTCCCCATCAAATTTGTCTCTCCATCTGTATTACCCACTACTGGAAACTTCACAAGTTGTCCTTTTTCACATGTGGCTAGGCTTTGTTGGTAGCTTACTGTGAACGTTGGATGTCCCTTGGTGACCTTTTATATTTGTATTTATCAGGGATGACCCTAGGGCAGTTGAGCCGTTGAACCCACCAGAGGGCAGTGCACCAGGAGATAGAATTTATTTTGATGGCCACCACTCGGATAGTCCTGATGAACAGTTGAACCCAAAGAAAAAAGTTTGGGAAAAATTACAGGTTAGTCTTGGAAATTTTGGTAAAGCTAAAAAGCTAAAATGCATTAAAAAATGAAAACCACTTAAAAGAAGGATTTGTTGTTTTATCTTAAACTTTAAAGTATGTAAAGCATTCATAGTAATAAAAATAGACTGTTTTAATGGATTAAGTAAATTTCTGAACTTAAGGTCTATACAATTAACAACAGGAAGCCAGTTGCAGTTCCTCCACTTGTATGACTGAATTATTCATACCAAATCCACCTGGGACGTCTGTAGCCGAGTGGTTTAGGTAGTTGACTTCCAACCACTTGCCCCTCACAGCTTTGGGTTCGAATCCTGACAGGGAATTTTGATTGTTTCATGTGAGGAAGCTTTCAAGCTTACGGAACGTTGGTGGTTCTACTCAGGTGTCTGTTTGTGCCTGAAATAATTCACGGAAGGGCACCCAATGTCTTCCTCCACCAGTAAAGCTGGAACCTTGCCATATGACCATTACTGTGTCGGTGTGCAGAAAAACCCAATAAAACAAACAAACAAAACCAAATCCACCAAAATGAATAACACATTTTTAGCTCACCTGTCACAAAGTCAATTTCATCCAAACTTAACAGGAATGTTCCTTTGGTAGTCAACTTTAAAAATTGTTGAAAGAATTTAATTCCAAGCAGAACTCTGGTTGTCATGGCAACCGAAAGACAAAAATTAAAATATCTTCTTTTAGAAATTGTAAGAGCTAGAGCTTAAATATTTGGCATGAAACATCATCTAGTCAGTGTCTACCAAGTTTGTTCAAATAAATTGGCCCTGCTTGGGGGGGGGGCTTGGCTACAAAGCATGAAACATCTTCTAGTGGGTGTTTACCAAGTTTGTTCAAATAAAAGCCCTGGGGTCAAAATTTGCCCCACCCCAGGGGTCATTGTTTTTCCCTTTATGTATAAAGTAAAAACTTAAAAAACCTTCTGCTAAAAATCCAAAGAGCTAGAGTTTAGGGGGGGGGAAGGGTCATTGTTTTTCCCTATATGTGTATAGTAAAAGCTTAAAAATCTTCTTAGAGCTAGAGCTTAGATATTTATCATGAAACATCTTCAAATGGGTGTCTACAAAAATTGTTCAAATAAAAATCCCTGGGTTAAAATTGGCCTATATTCAGATGAGCGATTTTAGGGCCATTATGGCCCTCTTGGTATATAAAGTTTAATGCTACTTTATTCTGTAACATATTTCATTTTCTTAAAAGACCAATAAATATTGAGTTATGTTATTTCAGGTTGACATGAGAACAAATGGTGATTGTATAGCAGAATGGCAAGGCAATAATATGATGTCAAAACTAGGACTTGTTAAATGTGACACTTTAAAATCGGCACCAATTAAATAATAAACATTTTGTTGTTTATCAACTGAATGAATTCATCAGACATGGAATTTGATTATTAAAAGAGAGTGATTCTAAGCAGTTGTGTTTTTAACTTTGTGATAAACATATAAAATGTTCTGTTTTTCTTCATAATAATTATGCAAACTTTATTGGATTAAATGGCATATGATAGTAATTGTATTTAATATACGGAGCCTTGAAAGTGCTTTACTTAAGAATATTCAGATAAGTGGGTTTTTTTCCTCACTTGTTGAGAAGAGGCCTTAGCCTCTTGATTTTGAGGGAAAATTATCACTAATATTGCTAATTTTGGAAGTAAAAGAGCTCGTGTAAGTTCAGATATTTGGGAAATTGAACATTTTGTTTGAGAAAAGGTCCTCTATAGGCCTCTTTTATAAAAGCTGAAAAGTGATTGTACATACAACATTAACTCTTGAACAACAAAACATGAAAAAGTTATACCTATGAAATAAGAAATAATTTTGAATTTATGAAATAAGAAAACATTTTAAAAATTAATGAAATGAGCAAACATTTAAATTTTATTGATGTCACAAATATTTTCGACAACTTAAAACTATTTATTTGATAAAAATAATAAAAAAGTTGTATTATTATGTTCATTTAAAGAAATATGAGACATACATGTACATTTCATTATGATTTAAATAAATACGTTCATAAGAATTTTCATCTAAATACATATACTGAAAGGCAGTAAGGAAAGAACATATTAAACAAACACTTACTATACATTATATACAATGAGATTTGAATACAAGAATTGCAAATAAACAATTGTGATCTCACATTGTGTCTCACGCTATTAATAGTGCAGGAAATGATCATGATGTATGATTGTTGAAACATTGTTTTACATTTTTAATGCAACAAGAATAAATCTTTTGGTAGAGAGAAAAGTTTTGTGTTCTTACAAATGAAAAACCCATTTGTACAGATATTATATTGGGTGACTGTCCCATTTGAATAGTTAAATGGCTAACATGAAAAGAAAGTTCACCCAACATATATTGAGTGTTGCAGTCATGGTATGACTGAGATTATTCATGGATAGTGGTATTATCAGGCTGTCCAGTGTCCCTAAAATTCCTAAAGAAATCCCAGTTTTTTCAGTTTGGCTAAAAGTCCTAAAAAATGAAAAATTCAAAGGGAGTACCTAAAAATCCCTTTTTTCACTGAAATTTCTATGTTTTTTTGTATGCCAGAAAGAATTTCAGGCATATGTGATACCCCCTGGCGTCAGTCTGCCTGTCCATCCGTTAGCAATTTGGTTTCTGGAGTATAACTAAAGTTCCATTTGGCCCACAATATTCAAACTTCATAGGATGATTGTCCATATTAGGTAAAAGATCTCTATTGATTTTGGGGTCACAAGGTCAAGGTCACTATAACCTTAAAACTGAAAACAGTTTCCGCTCAATAACTTAAGTATTAATCAACCTACAGCAGTAAAATGATGAACAGCCAAGTCCAATACATGACCCATATTGATTTTAGGGTCAAAGGTCAGGGTCACAATGACTTACACCGAAAATCGTGTCTGGAACATAACTTAAGTTCCATTTGGCCCACAGTGTTCAAACTTCATAGGATGATTGTCAATAATGGGTAGAAGACCCCTATTGATTTTGGGGTCACAAGGTCAAAGGCCAATATCAAATGACCTTAATATTGTTAACAATTTTACAACTGTCAAACTTAATAGAATGATTACTTATATTGAGTACATTAATTATATGCCCTCAAATATTTGCTTATATTATGTTATATACCACAGGCATCTTTCCGTCCAACCGTCGTAGCATTTTTACTTACAAGATAACAACTTGATGGTGGTGCTTTTGAAACAGCAACTGTATATATACATTAAAGGTTCTTCAGCAATAAAGGAGGATTGCTTTTTGAAGGAGTTAATATTCTATTTAATTCGCATGTCTTACAAATGCTTCATCCTTATTAAAAAAAAAACGATTTTCGGGCATATAATGCTACGCCTTGTTATCTTTTGTTATAAACTTGTAATTTTGAAAATGTTTTCATTCTTATTATGTTAAGTGTAGTTTTTCAGCTCACCTTATTCATAAAAGGGAGTTAGACCCTGCGGAAATGATTACGGACATAACAAAAGTCGACCATGTTTTGGTCAAAAATGATATGGCCATGATTTGCCAACTCAAAATTGGTGATATTGAAATGGTTTCGTTCAAACTATAATTTGACTGTGTCCATAACATTGCTATTTCATAATCAAAACGGTAGTTGATATGACCATTATTACAGTTTACATCAAAATCACTATCATAGTATGGTCCTAAAACTTAAATCATAACCATATAAGGTCTATTTGCCATCTCGAGATATCTTTAATTTAATGTTTCGTTTTTTTTCCAAATGGCTGAAGTCCTTTGGACACGTTCAGCCATTGACAAAACATGTTTCAAACATGGTTTGACTATGACCATATCTGCAGGGGAGGCAGTTGACCAGTGATTCCATTTATTCACTGATAACAATGGAACACTGGTTGACACCTTTGCTTGAGCATTATTTGAGTGTTACAATTATGCAAAGGTAAACCCAAATCATGGTCTTTGAGGGCCATTGTTTAGTTATAAAATCCCAAATTTTAGCCCAAAAATTTCTTAATTTCTTGTGTAATATCATATATATATTATGATAGTCGACAGATATCAAATGTGCGTTAGTCACCTATTTTCTACTTTTCTTTTCCGTAGCTTATTCTATACACTTCAATTTTATCGCTTGTTCCTGCTAAAATTAATTTAGTCATCTGCTTATTGCAGCAAATGGTTATCTGACCCCACACTGTATTTTTATAAGTATGTGATGGTTTAGGTATTTTACCAACAAACTTGCCGTTTTCGCCATACTGAAGGATTCCGGAACCATTGTCATAAACAAGAAGAGAGCCATCGGCTGTTAAACTGCCACCGTATGCGCTTTTTAACTTTGGCCCGTCAACTTTGCCTGTACTTGATCCATTTGTATCAAGAATGACAAGTCCTTTCCAAGAATCAGTCACATAAATTCTTGATCTATTCACTGCTAAGATACGAATATCTGAGAAAAGATTGTTTCCAGAAGAGTCCATACTAAACTGTTTAAGCTTTATTCCTGATAAGTTATAAACATACACTGATGTGTTGCTATCAGAAATATACAGATAACCACAGCTATAGGCTAAAGCAAAACACATAAAATCTGTTTTTATGTCATTTGATGTTGACATTTTATTTCCTATCGAAACGAACTCGACTGTTTTGATATCTGTCAAACAAACAGCTACTTTCCTTTGCCTGATTGTACACACTTGCCATGGGCATCCACTTAGTTGATATACTTCTGAAACAGCAAAAGTAGAATCATCCAAACGTTTCAAATTCCTATTAGAACGATCAGATAATATGATTGATCCGTCTCCCGCAACACATGCACTAACAATATTACACTTGGACCTGTCTGTAATTGATTTTTCTACTTTTCCTTTAATCTCCAATAAAGAATTTTTGCTGTAGTGTTGCTTTACTTGACCAAAACATTTTATTTCTTCCAACAGAACTTGCATTCTTTTATCAGGGATAAAGTCAACAGTTATATTTTGCTTTTGTGTACTAATGTTTCCTAGTTGTTGATCGACATAATTGGCAATTTGTATCCCTCTTTTATAATTCACAAACGTCTGTTGCACACTCGGACTCGGGGATTGAAGTTTGTGAAGACCAGCTTTTACACTTTCCTTACAGGGTTGAAGCAGGTTAAACAGTTTCTCTGCCTCTTCTATCAAACCAGTAAATACATTATTAACTTCACGCAGTATTTTTTTCTCTAATTTATCCAGTCTGGTATTGATTTTCTCTCGTAATCCTTTAATATCCTCCAGCAGACTACTTTTCTCTTTCAGAAGTCGCTCTTTATTGCGTTGGAAAAAGGTTTGATTTTCGTCCAATGTTTTTTCACACGATTTGAGCTCTTCTTCGATAGGGTCGATTGTTACATCATTTGTAATGTACTCTGATATGTAGAATCGTCCTTGACATGACCTATAATGATATTTGAATATCGCTGTAAATTCATTATACTGAAATTACTCACTTTTTGTCGTACTTGCATCTTTTGGATTTTATTTACAAATTGTAAAGTGGCGTAATCTAAAAAGTATAATACAAAATTTTAGAGTGAAAGTAGTTTTGTTCGACCTCATTAAATGCATATTTAAACACATGTTTATTAAACAAGTTTACGCATATAAGAATTCATATATATTCGTTCAAAATCTATATTATATCTTAGTCTCCTATTTGTTGACAGTATAAAGTGATCAATTATCATTTTAATTTGATTTTAAAATTATATTATGATCACACTGTTCCCTAATCTTCATAATACATACAGAAATGAAACAATCATACCGATGATCTACGGCCATACATGTTGAACATCCGACAACATCGTGATTTTCACAATACATATCTACGTGTTTATGCGTGTGTCGCTCACACTGGTCTGTCGGAGACATTGGGATGTATGCACTTGAGCAAGATTGAAATTGATCTTTGTCCAGGATTTCATGGTTGCCTAGCAAAGGTACATCCTCGTGAACTTTGACACATTTCAGACAATGATTTTCTTGACAGTCAATGCAGAATTTTTCAGCTTCACTGATTTTATCCTTCCGTTTACATATATTACAGACTTTATCAATTGTTTCATTAGAAAGAAAATTTATGTTTATGTTATCACCATTCGCCATTGTGAATTTAATAATTGATTTGTTGTTAACTATAATATATAAATTTTAACACTTTTAAATTTTATAACGCTGTGAATATCCAGTTACTAAACTGAAACGATCTATATCTTTAACTTCTGTCCCGACAAAGTTATGCCCAATATCTTTGTTTAATCAGTTTTAAACATTCGGCTTCGGACGAATCGCAAATACTTTACTGATATGAGTGATATATCTTTATTGACCCAGAAGTTTTTACAGAGCAAATATAGAGTTATGATAACAAATATATAAGTATGTGTAAAGTCTATAGCTTATTTCATTATTGGTTTCTGAATCCTCGCTTTAGTATAATCAGTTGTAGAAGTAAAAACTACATATTAGCCTCTTCATTGGCGTCCGCGCCGAAGCGCGGCGCCTTTTATGTAATGAAATCAGATTTTGTGAAAGGGCGACAGCAACTTCTCGAGCCTTTTATAGTTGTTCATTATAAAAGCCGATCATTCCGATCGGTATGAGGGTGCTTGATTATTAATTAGTCGCGATTTGTACAATGAATAGCGAACTGGAGAATTTCGCAATGCAAATTAGAATCTAAATAACCTTTTCCGTCAATAAATCGCGCTCTTCAGGGTATTTCTATTTATCATTTTGTAGTACACAGTGGATTATTATGGTATGTTATTCCGAAAGCTGTAAATAGAATGATGAGTTGATGACCTAAATATTCCGAAAATCTATTTATAGATGGATGTACTCCTGTCGGTAAATCCCGGTCTCTCCTGGTCTATTTTGACGACCGGCGAATAGTACCACGCGTTTATTGTCCGGTCTCTCCCGGTTTTGGAGATGATGTTTGATATCGTTACAGAACAGAACAAATATTTTTACAGATAAACACGGATTTATTAATATAAATCCGTGAGATAAATAAGCTTTTTTTCAAAATGAATGTTTGTCACTTAGATTGGTTACAATAATTAAGAAACACAGATCAACTCTCAAAATTATTGATTATTATTATAGATAAACATACAATTCGGAAAAAAAAACCCAACAACACACATCGCATGTTTTATTTTATCTATGTATATGAGATAAAAACAATAAATATGTACAATAATTGAGAAAAAATGTACATTTTTATGGCATTAATATGACACTATCAACTTTGAAACATTTTATTTAATTTGTTATTCGTGTTTAGTAAAGATGCCGAGGAATTGTTCAAAGTTACAAATCAGATTTTATGAATTATTCAATTGATTGTTAATTTCAGAAATGATAAAGAAAAATACAAATGTACATGTATATGGTTTAAGAATAAACAATAACCATAATTTACTGACTTTTTGCAGTTAAGTTTTGACTTATAATCGTCGGTCATTATGACAATTGAATTCTTAAAATAATAGTAAACGTCAAAATTCAATATTAAAATAGTGCATAAAACACAAAAAAGAAAAGCAAACAATATTCATAAAATCTGTTGTTTTTTTTATATTAAAAATGATATTACAATTAGTGTATAATAAACATTTATGCTCAACATGATCAACATGGTAATATAACAAGTGTCTTATTGTTACTAAGTGTGAACAGATACCTTAAGAGGGGGTCTTCGCTAATAGCGATAACATAATAAGGGACAATTACACAAGTGTGGTGTTGATCATGCGTTACTCAAATGGATTATAAATGATTGTATACATGTATATCCGTTGCTATTAATAATCACGATCATAAAGAAATAACAAGTAATATTCTAATTTCTAGCATGCCAATCAAATTTATAAATAATGAACAATGTCTTCGTTCCTTCGTTTATAAGTGATATACAATTCTGGTAAAAACCAATGAACCATTGAACAGTTTATCAACATATATCTACTAGTTCATCTGCACCTGATGCATTTCTTGCTTGGACGCCCTTTGATGCTTTGCATCAATGCTTTTCTTGTATTCTATATGTCGTTTATATTATCAGTTACATTGTATAAAGAGTGTTGACGTGTTGTATGACCTTATATAAACGGCTGTGTGTATATATAACCCGAGCCATTTATATACAGTCATATATACATTTACCCTTTATAAACGTCTTGGCCATTTTTAAAATAAGTACATTTTAATAAAATTAATTTAGAATTTTTAAACTGAGAATGGGATTGCCCCATCTTCCTCCCATGTCAGAGGTTGTACGTAGAGACTACCCTGTCATGGGGGATATGGTATGCACATAACACATGTACCGATATAACATCAGTAAATAAACATCAGCTCCCCTATTTTTAGGTTATAAATGAAGTATATGCTCGCCCATACGGTCTCTTTCCGGTGGCGAGGGTAAACAAACGCAAACACACACAGTCATATAGCCTGTAAAGAATCTTAACAACGAATTTAAAATACAGCAAACTGATTTTATTACAGAAAATTATAAAATAACTTTATAATTTGACAGAAGCCGTACATATAGGTAATATAAATATCGCGAATATGCAATGACAAGCGATGTTACAAACGTGACTATTATAATATTCGCTTAAACATTTTTATTCAATCTCCACTTTTATATAACTTTTACGTTCCAACCGGCGTAGGTGTTTTATTATTGAAACTGTGAATGCTATGCTAATTTGAATGATATTATGCTTATTGCAATATTCGGGATTATATTTTAGTAAGTAGGCTCTTCAAATAACCTGTTTCATTGATTAAAGCAGTCAAAATTACGTTGCTTTGGGGTGAAATAAAAAGAAATTATCTATAACTTTAGGTACAGAAACTTGACTAATGTACCTATGGTACATGTTCATATATGCATATGATGATAAAATTCTATTTAAACAAAAATGTATGTATGATCGGTGAAAGAAAAACAACGTATTTACACAATTTAATTGAGAAATAAGTAATATAGGAATTTAATGAAGTTTTGTGAAGATACCTGTGAATAAGTTTTGCATTTTCCTTCAGATATGTTAACCTATTATTGAAATTTGAAATATAATATCTGTTTGAATAATATATTCTTGTTACTAAAATGAGTGTAACTGTTCATCCTATATATTGGCAGGGTGTAACTTCTTAAACGAACCAGAAACCAGGACTAATTTGAATGGACTGGTTGGCCTGTATCCTGAGGAAAACTGCAAAATGGACTTGGCATCTTTTTGTGTAACCTAAAACCAGACAAAATGAGGGAGTGACACAATGTTGATGTGTGCCTCATTGAAAGAATGCATTAATTGCTTTTTTATTATTATTCAGTGGATGAACATGAGATCTTACACCTATTTTTTGTCCTCTCTTTAATCTTTTAAAGGCAACATTGGGTTGCAATCTTTAGATGTGTTCTTAGTCAAAGTGGAACGTAGTTTAACATGACAAGCAACTAGGGTTTACAGCCACTTTATCTTTTATCCAATATTTTGTAAGCAATGTCAGTTTGTCTTTTTCATCCATAGTAAACAGTGTAAACAAGAAAAATATAAGCCAAATAGCATACAATTTTAATAGTCCTTTTGTATTTTAAAAGGCTTTTACACGATTATAAGAAAATTTGTCTATGAAATTTCTATGATAAAGGCATAAAATGTATTATTTTAAAAGTATGCATATCGATTGTTCGGCTGTCATTTGGATGCCGATTACTTATCTAGCCGTTAGTTACATGTCCAAGCGTTAATTAATAAATGCTCATAAGTTTGCCTTCATTTGTCTTTGATGTGCAAACAAGAAAATTGATAACTTTATTAAATGCATTATTAATTTTTAACATTTGATCTTTTAAGGTTTGTCCTTATTTGTTTCTTAATTGCAGTTACACACACACATATATATTAATTTCCCCTCGCTGTTCTGCCCTTGTGCAACATCTTTGTATTTGTATTTCTCAGGGATGGCCCTCGGGCAGTTGAGCCGTTGAACCCACCAGAGGCAGTGCACCAGGAGATAGAATTTATTTTGATGGCCACCACTCTGATAGTCCTGATGAACAGTTGAAGCCAAAGAAAAAAGTTTGAAAAAAATTACAGGTAAGTCTGTGGAAATATTTGATAACTTAAAAGTGAATAGAGATATAAGATAAACCAGAAGAGAATGATTTTAATATAATGCATTTAAAAAGATGAAAATCACTTGAAAAGCAGGACTGGTTCTTCATTTCCTACATTTTGAAATTTGTAAATCATTCATTGCAATAACAATGTTATGTTTGTCAATGTCTTGAACATTTTTTTGTGAAATCAAGGTCTGTACGACTATCAACAGGAAGCCCATTAGAGACCCTGAATTTATGATCTTAATTTTAACAGAATGAGAAAAAAACACAAGAAAACAAAAACAGCAACAGCACAAGTTACAACAACACATATTGATATACAATTTAATGCTCTTTCATGCTATAAAACATACATTCAGTAACATAATGAATGGGTATAAATATTGTGTTTTGTTATTTCAGGTTGGCATGAGAACAAATGGTGATTGTATAGCAGAATGACAAGGCAATAATATGATGTCAAAATTAGGATTTGTTAAATGTGACACTTTAAAATCAGCACCAATAAAATCAACTGAATGAATTCATCAGACAAGGAATTTAATTTTTGACAAATTGTGATTTCTCAGCAGTTGGGTTTAAACTTTGTGATAAACATATATTTAATGTTCTGCTTCTTTCATAATAATTATGCTAACTTTATTGGATTAAATGGCATATAATAGTTGTTTTACATAATGTACAGAGCCTTGAAAAAGCTGTATTTAAGAATGTTTTGTGTAGATTAGTGTTTTTCTCACTTAATTGGGAAGAGGTCTTAGCTTCCTGATTTTGGAACAAAAATTGTCGCTAATATTGCTATGGAGAAGTAAGAAGGCTAGTGTAAGTTCAGATTTTTAACAAAGTTTGTTTGGGAAGAGGTCTTTCATTGACCTCTGTTATATAAGGTGAAAAATTACTGTAGATACGTTAACTCTTGAACAACAACAACAAAAATATACCAAGAAATAAGAAATCATTTTGAATTTATGAAATAAGAAATTATTTTAAATGTATTGATTTCATAATTATTTTCGACAACTTAAAATTTCTATTTGATAAAAATAATAAAACGTTGTATTATTTTGTTAATTTAAAGAAATATGAGTCAAACATGTACTTTTCTTTATAGTTTAAATAAATACTTTAATTAAATTTTTTATCTTAATAAATAAACTGATGTGCCTTAAAGAAAAAACATATTTAACAAACACTTATTATACATGGATATTCAATATAATTTGAATACATTAATTGCACAAAAATATTCTAGACCTACAATAAAAAATACAGACATTGTGTCTCACGCTTTTATTTTGAAAATGACCATGATGCATGATTTTCAAACATTGTTTTACATTTTTATGTGATGAGAATAAATCTTTTGGTGATAGAAAAATTATTTGTTGTCAATTTATGTCCTAAATAATGAAATACGATTTTGTACAGTCATTATATCGCGAGACTTTCGTATTTGAATCCTGAAAATAAGATTTTACGCAGCAAACATTAAATGTTGCAGGCATGGTATGATTGAGATTATTTATGGATCTTTTTCACTGGTTTAAATAATTGTATACACACAATTGAACATCTGTATCAAAACAATATATATCTAATAGTCGACAGATACCGCTATGTGAACTAGTCATATTTTTTCTACTACTTCCTTAGCTTACGCTGTATACTTCAATGTTGTCATTTGCTCCTGCTAAAATCATTTTAGTCATCTGTTTATTACAACACATTGTCAACCGAGAAGCATCTTTATGTTTGTAAGTATGTGTAGCTTTTATTATTTTACCAATAAACTTGTCGTTATCGCCATACTGAAGGATTCCGGAACCATTGTCATCAACAAGGAGATAGCCACTTGAAGTAAAACTACAACCGTGTGCGCCTTTTACCTTTGGTCCGTCAACTATGCCTGTACTTGCTCCATCTTTATCAAGAATAATAAGTCCTTTCTTTGAGTCGGTAACATAAATCCTTGATTTATTTACAGCTAGACTACGAATATCCGAGGCTTGTATGTTACCAGAATTGTCTATACAGAACTGTTTAATTTTTATTCCTGATAAGTTATAAACATACACGGAAGTGCGGGAGTCAGAAATATACAGATAACCGGAACTATAGGCTATTGCATAACACATAAAATCTGTTTTTAGTTCATTTGATTTTGACAGTTTATTTCCTATCGAGACGAACTCGACTGTATTGATCAATGGCAAACAGACAGCCATTTCTGTTTGCCTGATTGTGCACACTTGCCACGGAGCTTCACGTAGTTGATATACTTCTGAAACAGCAAAAGTAGAATCATCCAAACGTTTCAAATTCTTATTCAAACGATCAGATAATATAATTGATCCATCTCCCGTAAGACATGCACTTACAATATTACACATGCTTGAGTCAGTTTTATCCTTAATTGATTTTTCTTCTACCCTATTTTTGATCTGCAAAAATGGATCTTTAGAGTTTTGGCTAAGTTTACCAAAACATTTTATTTTTTCCAACAGTGCTTGTATTACGCTGTCAGGTATAAACACAACAGTTACATTCTGCTTGTTTGTACTAATATTCCGAAGTTGTTCGTCGACATTATCGGCAATTTGAATCCCTCTTTTATAATTCACAAACTTCTGTTGGTCACTCGTACTAGAGGATTGAAATTTGTTTAGAGCAGATTTAACATTTTCCTTACAAGTTTGAAGCAGGTTAAACTGTTTCTCTGCCTCTTCTATCAAACCACTAAATACAACATTTACTTCACGCAATATGTTCTTCTCTAATTCATCGAGTCTTGCATTGATTTTCTCTCGTAATCGTTTGATATCCTCCAGCAGACTACTTTTCTCTTTCAGAAGTCGTTGTTTATTGCGCTGGAAAAAGGTTTGATTTTCATCCAGTGTTTTTTCGCACGATTTGAGCTCTTTCTTGATAGTGTCGATTGTTACATCCTTTTTAATGTACTCTGATATGTAGAAACGATCTTGACATGACCTATAATGATATAAAATTACTACGTTATTACTCACATCTTTCTATACCAAAGCATTTTGGTTTCAATTAGTAAAGTAACGCCATATTAATACTAATGAGTACTAAAACAATAGTTTTAATAAATACAAGATGTGTTACACGCTCATTTACATTGAGTCTTTAAAACGATTTTGTCATTCACTTAGCATAACAGTCTACTTGATTGAAAATAAAATTTACTTATGAATTTAATATTTGCTCGCTTCGGAAACATATAGATCTACATATCGTCTGAAAATTCAATGCCAAATTAAAAGATTAACATAACAATTTACTTAAATTATTCATGATGTTAGTTTCATTATTTATAGATATTACCAGAACAAGATTTTATTCTGTTGTAATGCCAGTGTTTTTCCCATTTATTATTTAGAGTTAAAACATGTTAAAACATACCCATGATCTAAAGTCATGCACGTCGAACATCCGACAACATCGTGAATTTCACAATACATGTCTACATGTCTATGCTTGTGTCGCTCACACTGTTCTGTCGGAGCCGTTGGTAAGTTTGAACTCGGGCTAGATGGAAAATGATCTTTGTCCAGAATTTCATGGTCGCTTAGTAAAGGTACATCCTCGTGAACTTTGACACATTTCAAACAATAATAGTCCTGACAGTCAATGCAGAATTTTTCAGCTTCACTGTTTTTATCCTTCCGTTTACATATAATACATACTTTATCAAAGGTTTCATCCGAAAGAATATTTAGGACACCGGTCGCCATTTTAAATGTTATTTAATATTTCTATGTCGTTTTGTGTAGTCTTTTACGTGTTAATATTATTTATTTATTGATCGATATATTTCCATAATATATCAATGAGTTTACGGAATATAAACTAACCTAGCTATTTTGGATTACTAAATTTCAGAACAGGTAACGTCCTTTTTTGTTTAACCAGTTTAAACGTCCGATGTTGAACAAATCGCATAAAGTTGACTGAGATGATTTACCTCTACTATTATCGACCCGGAAGTTTTGCAGTTGACATAGAGTTAAACGATAGTGTTTATAGCGTGACGGCTATAGACTATTTCAATATTTGTTTCTTTTTGTTTGTTTGTTTGTTTTTTAATTGGGTTTTTCGTCAACACAGTATAGGTCATTATAGGTTCCAGCTTTAATGTTTGAAGAAGACGTCAGTTGTGCTTCCGTGCATCACTTGAGGCACGAACGGGAACCTGAGTAGAACCACCGACATTCTGTAATCTAGCTCCCTCACATGAAAGAATCGAAAGATCCTGTCGGGATTCGAACCCATGGCGGTGAGGAACTAGTGGTTTGAAGTCAATGACATTAACCACTTAGCCATGGACACCCCTGTTGATTTCTTAATCGTAGACATAATAAGTTGTAAAGGAATAAGTTACAAACATTTTAGATTTAAAATGCAGCAACTAATTAGCTTTATCCCTGCTTAAAGTGAAAAATGTTTACAAATTTACCCTCTGGGTAGCTTTGTGCATTTATAAAAATGGATAGCTTTATCAATGCAATTATACCTTTTAAAGTGGTATTAATTTGTTTGTTAATTGCAGTTATTCATAATTTTATTAATTTTTCTCCTTCCTTTTCTACCATATGTGTCCCCATCAAATTTGTCTCTGCATCTGTATTAAACACTACTTGAAACCTCACAAGTTGTCCTTTTTCACATGTGGCTAGGCTTTGTAGGTTGCTTACTGTGAACGTTGGATGTCCCTTGTTGACTTTTTGTATTTGTATTTCTCAGGGATAACCCCCGGGCAGTTGAGCCATTGAACCCAAAAGTGGTAAGTGCACCAGGAGATATAATCTATTTTAATGGCCACCACTCGGATAGCCCTGATGAAAAGTTGAACCCAAAGAAAAAAGTTTGGGAAAAATTACAGGTAAAAGAAAATAGAAATTTTGGAAAAAACTAAAAGTATTTAAAAAATGAAAACCCCTTAAAGAGGAGTTGCTTTTTATCATATACGTTTATCTTAAAGCATTCATAGTTATCATAATTGACTGTTTTAATGAACTATGTAAAATTATGAATTTAAGGTCTGTACTACTAGCAATAGGAAGCAAATTGCACTTCCTCCAGTTGTATGACTGAAATATCACACCAAATCCACCAAAATGAATAACCAAACACAATTTTATATGAAATTTAATCAAACCATTTGCCACTTACCGCATTGGGTTTGAATCCCGACTGGGAATTTGGATTCTTTCAAGTGAGGAAGCTATCCAGCAAGCTTACCAACGCCGGTGGTTCTACTCAGGTGCCTGTTCGTGCCTGAAATAATTCACGGAAGGGCACCCGAAGTCTTCCTCCACCAGTAAAGCTGGAACGTCGCCATATGACCTTTACTGTGTCGGTGTGACGTAAAACCCAATAAAACAAACAAACACTAAATCACCAAAATTAATAACACATTTTTATATAAAATTTAATGCTACTTTATTCTGTAAGATGTTTCATTTCCTAACATGACCAATTAATATTGAGTTATGTTATGTCAGGTTGACATGAGAACAAATGGTGATTGTATAGCAGAATGGCAAGGCAATAATATGATGTCAAAATTAGGACACTTAAAAATCGGCACCAGTTAAATGAAAGAAATTTTGTTTTGTATCAACCGGATGAGGTTGTCAGATAAGGAATAGAATTATTCAACATAGTGATATGATATCTCAGCAGTTATGTTTTTAACTTTGTGATAAGCATACAAAATGTTCAGTTATTCATTATTATTTATATGCAAACTTTATTGGATTAAATGGCATATGATAGTAATTGTATTTAATATACAGAGCCTTGAAAGTGCTTTACTTATCAATATTCAGATAAGTGGGTTTTTTCTCACTTGTTGAGAAGAGGCCTTAGCCTCTTGATTTTGAGGGTAAATTATCACTAATATTGCTAATTTGGGAAGTAAAAGAGCTCGTGTAAGTTCAGATTTTTGGGAAATCGGTAAAATTTTAAAGAACATTTTGTCTGAGAAGAGGTATTTTATAGGCTCTTTTATAAAAGCTGAAAAGTCACTGTACATTCAACATTAACTCTTGAACAACATTTAAATTTTATTGATTTACAAATATTTTCGACAACTTAAAAATATTTATTTCATAAAAATAATAAAAAGTTGTATTTTTATGTTCATTTAAAGAAATATGAGACATACATGTACTTTTCAGTATGATTTAAATTAATCTGTTCATAAGAATTTTCATCTAAATACATATACAGATAGGCAGTAAGGACAAACACTTACTATACATTATATACAATGAGATTTAAATACAATAATTGCTAATAAGCAATTGTGACCTACAATAAGAAATACAGACATTGTGTCTCACGCTATTTATAGTGCAAAAAATGATCACGATGTATGATTTGTTGAAACATTGTTTAACATTTTTATCCGACAAGAATAAATCTTTTGGTAGAGAGAAAAGTTTTGTGTTCTCAATTTAAATTCTAAAGAATGAAAAACCATTTTGTACAGATATTATATTGCGAGACTGTCCTATTTGAATAGTTAAATAGCTAACATGAAAAGAAAGTTCACCCAGCAAACATTGAGTGTTACAGGCATGGTATGATTGAGATTATTAATGGACAGTGGTATTATCAGGCTGTCCAGCGTCCCTAAAATTCCTAAAAAAAATCTCATTTTTTTCAGTTTGGCTAAAAGTCCTAAAAATGAAAAAATCATAGGGAATTCCTAAAAATGCCATATGTTTTCACTGAAATGTCTGTTTTTTATATGCCAGAAAGAATTAGTTATATGCCCTCAAAAATTTGCTTATATTATGTTATACCCCTGGCACCTCGTAGCATTTTTACTTACAAGATAATAACTTGATGGTGATGGTTTTGAATATATATATATATATGGTTCTTCAGCTATAAAGGAGGATTGCTTTTTGAAGTAGGTCATATTTTATTTAATTCCCATGTCTTACAAATGCTTCATCCTTACAAAAAACCACTTTCGGGCATATAATGCTCAGCCTAGCGTGCTCTTGCTATTTTTTGTTATAAACTTGTAACTTTCAAAATGTTTTCATTCTTATTATGTGTAGTGTAGTTTTTCAGCTCACCTTATTCATAAAAGGGAGTTAGACCCTGCGGAAATGATTACGGACTTAACAAATGTTGACCATGTTTTGGTCAAAAATGATATGGCCATGATTTGCCAACTCAAAATTGGGGACATTGAAATGGTTTCGTTTCAACTATAATTTAACTATGTCCGTAACATTGCTATTTCATAATCAAAACAGTAGTTGATATGACGTTCTTGACAGTTAACATCAAAATCACTATCATGTTATGGTCCTAAAACTTAAATCATAACCATAAGAGATATATTTGCCAACTCGAGATATCTTTAATTTAATATTTCTTTTTTTTCCAAATGGCTGAAGTTCTTTGGACATATTCAACCATTGACAAAACATGTTTCAATGACCATATTTGCAGGGGTGGCAGTTGACCAGTGAATCCATTTATTCACTGATGAAAATAAAACACTGGTAGACACCTTTTCTATGTTAAAACAAGAGCATTATTTGAGTGTAACTTATGTGTCAATTATGCAAAGGTAAACCCAAATCATGGTCTTTGGGTGCCATAGATTAGTTATAAAATTCCAGAAATTAAATCAAGGGCAATAACTCGAAAATACAAAATATATCCACACAAAAAAACCAAGTGCACAACTACGCATGCTGATCAACATTCCTGTAAGGTTTCATGACTTTAGGTCAAATACTTTTTGTGTTACGTGTGACACAAGTGAAAATTGGAAATTTTTTACTAATTTAGCCCTTAAATTTTCTAATTTTATGTCGGAAGTTGCTGGACAGCTTGTATTCAATTTCAATATCTATCAAAACAATATATATATACCGAAATGTGCGCTTATCACCTATTTTCTACTTTTCCTTTCCTTAGGTTATGCTACACACTACAATGTTGTCATTTAATTCTGCTAAAATAAATTTAGTCATCTGTTTATTGCAGCAAATGGTTTTCTGACCACACACTGTATTTTTATAGTATGTGATGGTGCAGCTATTTTACCATTAATCTTGCCGTTTGCGCCATACTGAAATATTCCAGAACCATTGTCAATGCTAAAGTACAACCGTATGCGCTTTCTACCATTGGCCCGTCAACTTTGCCTGCATTTGCTCAATCTTAATCTAGAATAACAAGTCCCTTTTCAGAGTCAGTGACATAAATTCTTGATCTATTCACTGCTAAGCTGCGAATATCTGAGAAAAATTTGTTTCCCGAAGAGTCCAAACTAAACTGTTTAAGCTTTATTCCTGATAAGTTGTAAACATACCATGAGGTGGTGGAGTCAGAAATATACAGATTACCACAACTATAGGCTATTGCATAACACTCAAAATCCGTTTTTATGTTATTTGAATTTGTCATGTTACTTCCTACTGAAACGAAATCGACTGTTTTGATATCTAACAAACACACAGCTATTTTCATTTGCCTGATTGTGCACACTTGCCACGGCGTCCCACGTAGTTGAAATACTTCTGAAACAGCAAAAGAAGAATCGTCCAAACGTTTCAAATTCCTATTAGAACGATCAGATAATATGATTGATCCGTCTCAAGTAACACATGCACTAACAATATTACACATGAACCTGTCTTTAATTGATTTTTCTACTTTTCCTTTGATCTTCAATAAAGCATCTTTGCTATAGTGTTGATTGACTTGACCAAAACATTTTATTTCATCCAACAGAGCTTGTACTCCTTTATCAGGTATAAACTCAACAATTACATTCTGCTTGTGTGTACTTATATTCCGAAGTTGTTCGTCGACATTATCTGCAATTTGTATCCCTTTTTTACAATTCACAAACTTCTGTTGCTCACTCGTACTAGAGAATATAAGTTTGTGAAGAGCAAATGTTACACTTTCCTTACAGGTTTGAAGCAAGTTAAACTTGCCTCTT